CAAGATCTAGCCTCTCTGGCCGGCGCCATTTTGGGTACGGCATGTAGCCAGTACATACAGATATGGCTGGCAACATCTCCCTCCTTCTTATACAATAGAAAAATAAGCTGGTATGGGCCTGTCTTAGGTTGTAGACTCAAGGCGCACGATCCGTCATAGGGAGGCTGCGTGGCTTGACGTAGTCCCTGTCTTAGACCGATAATTGTCTGGGTCTATCTTACCCGTCATGGGCTACAACCGCGGTGGTTGTAAAGAGCAATGTCTCGACAAGTTAGTTATAAGATTGACTACCCTCTCGCGTGCAATGGAAAAATCCTGCGAGGTGCAAGGGCTAGTCAGGTGCATTATGCATCATGCTCGAACTCAGTGCAATGCCATAATGACCTGAGGTGCAGGAGCCATGATGTCCATGCTCTTAACTAAGCCTGTTGAAGCATGCTCAACCATACCATGGGGGAGTCACCATACTGCATGGCTAGTAGGGCTTGATGTATTGTCACACAATCTCGCTGAGCGCGGTGTCTCAGACGACACAGGCAAAAAAGGCATAAGGCACAGCCTGCACATAAGAGCAGAATCAGCACAACCACTCCCACCCATTCCTTAATATGGGAAGTGATGTTCCAAATCCAAGTGGCTAGGGTTTCAGCAACAACATGATCCACCCGTGTAGAATTAATCTGGACAATGGCAATTCTCAACTCCGACTGTAAAATATCAAATTCTCTCGTCCAATTTCCTAAAAGATAGGAAGAAAGCTGGCAAGAAAGATTAGCAGCCATTGAAACATTTTGAAAAGGAATATAAGTAACACATAAACCTTGACACTAAAATTCTCAGGAGACGCTTGAAAACAAAGCGTGTCCTGTAGGGAGAATAAAAAATTACTCATATTCTCCTTAATATCATCATAAGGGAGAAAAGGCAAATCCAAAGAAGAAAAAATCAAGGAAACACTCGGGCTGAGTGGGCGACCGGTAAGGGTCATGGAAAAACACTCAAAACTCCTCATCGTGGCTCAGCAATCACGATCCTCACAAGCGCCATACAGACCATTAGTTGCACCATCAGCCGTGTTTGCACTGGGCGGGGCACCATTGTCCTGTGGGATTGTAGGAGGAGTTTCTGATTGCGGGGTTGCATGAATCTTCCCCAAGTCAGATCCTCGTGCAAGCGTTCCAGCGGTTGCAGAAATGTCAGAAGGCGGTGATGGACAGGAACGAGTCAATCGAGCTGGAACCCAAACCGGAACTGGGGCGTCCTGTGGAAACACACAAATGGCTCCTCGAGCCTGCCTAATAACTGGGTCTGGGCCCTTCCATTTGGACTCCAGAACATCCTTCCACTTGACCCAAGATTGCTCTTGCGCCGTCTTGAGGGAATGACGATCTGCAGCACTGAGGCCTTTCTCATCCAGCTGTAAAAAATTGATGGTGAAGAGAGCCAGGGCTAGAGTGGCCCGAGGGCTCTGACTGGCGAGGCCAAGTGATTCCCAGGTGGTTTTTTGCTTTTGTAACAATTCCTTAATAGAGCGATGAGCACGTTCGATTATCCCCTGACCTTGTGGATTATAAGGGATGCCAGTCACTAATTTGACACTCATTTTCTGCATTACACGTGCCACAAAATCAGCAAAGGGCTCATCCGGCTCCTGCTTAACCTGTGTAATGCCCAGTTTCTCTTGCCCTTTAAGTGAAAGGGCCTTCCATGCCTTTATAGCTGCAGTAGAGATCTGGGTATACACTGGCCATGGATAGCTATTTTGATCATCAGAGTATTGGCCTTGTCCGGAAAGCATATTATAAGTCCAGGTCAAAGCATCACCGCCGCGCTGTTGGTTTGCCCGGGCGGTCTCAGCCAAAAGCTCTTGCCATAGGCTCTTCCAATTTAGATATGATCCGATATTAGGGAGAACAGCCTTCACCACAAATTGCCAATCAGAGGGAGTCATATTCATTCCCCCCATACGTTCTAACAGGGACAAAGTATAATTGGCGTGAAGACCATATTGCTTTACAGACATGGCCAATTCTCGCACTAATGCTGCATCTACCTGTCTGTAAACTCTTTCCCTTTCTTCTTCTAAGACGGGGAACATATCTTGAAGTTCCCGGCGCGCGGCTGCATCGATGAAGGAAGAGCCGGCACCATAACTCATGGGCGGGGCAGATGGCGTCACAGGAGGAGGAGCCATTGATGAAATGGCTCCAGAGTCCTGAGGCCATGGGCCGCGCGTGGCCGGCGCAGTAGCACCGCCATTATCTTTCTTCTCCTTTTCTAATCCTTGTCTATTTCCTGCAGGTTTACGTTCTAAGCGCCTATCCCACTTATACCCTTCCTCAGCGTCGGAAGTCTCCGAACTTGATGAGGAAGATACTGCTTTAAGTTTCACCTTTATTTTTTGCTTCAAACCGGTTCTCCTCTCCCGCTCTGTTTCTGAGAGACTATCCTGGGCAGACTGAAGGGCTTCGTCACTCTCTCTGACCGCTCCCTTATGGGGGCATAAACCATCTGCAAAAATTTCACCAGAGAGACTTGTGCGCCCATGTCTATAACCAGAAGCGGCGGCTCATATACCTCCGATTTATGCTCCTAGTCACCCGAAAGTTCTCCCTCTCAGAGCTCCTTACCTGTTTTTTGGCCGCAGTTCTGACTCCGTCCCGTTCAAAACGGGAGGCCCCCTCCAAGTCCCGGGTTCCCGGCACCAGTTGTCGCGCCCACGTGTCTTACCGCCCAGCAATAAGACGCAGACGCGAGTGAAGCCTCCTGCGGTAAAATTTATTGTGCACACTAACATGAAGAGGAGGGACCTCGAACCCCGGCAAGCTTTTTGCTCTTATGTGCTGTCTGGCCCCGCCTCTGCCGATGATAGGTCGGCGACATGATTACGCAGGGTTCTGGGCGACTGGATTCGTCAGTCCCAGTGTTTACGTGCCTGCCGCGCCGCAGCTCACTGCGCATGCGCTAGGCACGTGCGCAGTACTGTGAAAGCTACGTGACTTTCCACCAGGCACCAAGATCTAGCCTCTCTGGCCGGCGCCATTTTGGGTACGGCATGTAGCCAGTACATACAGATATGGCTGGCAACACGTTCCTGGGCTTCTCATTCATGAGTTGTGCTAACTTTGATGAACTGTATGAATTCTCTGGATTCTCACCGGGCCTTTTTAGAATGATTCTTTTAAATTCTTTATCAGGCATTTCATCAAGACCCTCCCTGCTGAGGAGGGCCCGTGGTTCTGGGCCGCGTGCTGTTGCCTCGTGTCTTGTGCTCCTGCTTCGAAGAGGAGCCTTTGCGGGGGACAAGGCTTTGGGGGGACAAGGCTCTGCGCTGGTGCAGAGCCTGCAACCTCAGAGCACCTGCAGCTCAGGACTGGTGCAGAGGTTGCCATCTACCGTACCAGCATTCCATGTGGGCGCTCACTTGAGTGCAGGCCACTCCGCTTACAAGCTAAGTCCCTGCTCGTGCGCCTGGAAGGCCATGGAAGCCACTCCAGCTGCTTGGGCCCCTGTAGTGCACGTGGGAGACCTGGGTGCAGTCTCCGGCAGAGGGTTCAGCCTGGACCAGCTGTGGTTATGGTGGCCCATGGGGGAGTCAACAGAATCCAGAGCTCTCTCTGTGTCTGCTCCTGCCTCGTGTTTCCCTACCTTAAACAAAAAAATCTAGGAAAAAAATTCACTGTCCAGCTGAGGAGACAGCCATGGAGAGGACTTAAAAACAATTTGGCAAAAATGGAATTGAACAATGACTGCGGGAGGGGATGTCTGGTCCAGCATGGAAGATGCGCAGCTGTCACCAGTGCAATGCTTGGCTCCAGGCTTCCCTGGCCAGTGCCCGTGGCCGCCAGGACCGGCAGGGGGCGGCCGAGAGCCGTCCTGGGCAGGGCTGCCGGGAAGCCGAGTGGTTGGCGACCCAGTGGTTGTCGGGGTGGTCGGGGCAGCGGGGGTCGCGGCTCGGGAGAGGCCGGGAGGAGCAGCGCAGGAACCTCTCCCAGGTCGGGATCCTTGACCTCTGAGCCTGACCCAGGCGCTCACCCCCGCTGCTGTCCGCCCCTCTGAGGACCTCCCCCTCTGCGTCCCTCATTTTTCTCACTACTCCACCTGTCAGTGTGTCCCCCGGAAGACGTGCTAACATTTACCTGTTAAGGTAAATCTGTCTTAGGAGTGGGTTGAAAGGGCATTTCAGTATCGCAAAAGAGGGGAGGAAAGATGAGCCTAATTTTAGTGCAAAAATATTCGAAGTCCATGCAGAGGTGGGAGCTCTCGAAACGTTCGTGAAAATGCCTATTCTGAAAAAAACTAAGCGTGGACTCAACTTTTTTTCTCCTTTCTCTAAAATGAGCTTCAGGTTTTCATTTCATTTTTCCCCGTGAGCTTTTGGATATGCCCTTGTTCCTGGTAGGAACAAGGTGGCAGAGTCCTCCGGGGGCTCCCAGTGGGCACAGCCTCGGCTGCAGTCCCGGTCTGTCCCTGCCTGGACCTGTGGCCGCAGATGCTTGGCTTCGCGGCTGGCGTCTCAGCAAAGGCGAAGCCTCTTTTCCCGACCCAGAAAGGGTACAGGTGCAGGCCCGTCTGGGCAATGATTAGCCACTGCGAGGAGCACTAAGCAGATTACATTTTTATAAGATTAATTTAATCCTCATCACGAGGGGTGTTTACAGGAACATTGCATTCGATTATGAATTGATTCCAAATGGGAGCTGGGCACGTTTGAACCATTTTTCAAATTACCCAGATTTAGAAAAAGTCTAATCTGTTAGCAACGTTTAATAAGTGCACTCATTACCAACAGTTAGGATCCGTCTGTCTGTGAGACGGTAACTTTGGTGGTTCTTACAGCACTCAATGGCAGAACAGTGTAAACGTCTCCAGCAATGTTTCTATCAGCCCCAAAGCCTCGCTCTTCCAACCATAACAAGGGATGCTGGGGGAAGAAAGTCCTTTATGACTTCCCGTGTTGAGTCGCGCTAATGAATGACCTTTATTGGTATCTCCTGCAGGCAAACACGAGACAGTTGGGGCCAGGCTCCTGCAGGCTTATCAGAAGCCGAGGTGAGTGTGGGTGCTGGGAAGGACACTGTGTCCTGGGCCCCTGGGTGGGGGCCGGGCAACTGTGGGAGGGCGCCCCCGAGGGCTCAATGTTCAGATGTCACTGCTTAGGAATGCAGCTTTTTTTTCCTTTTTTATGGTGAAGTGCCTGGAAGACATTCCAACAGAGATTGCTTATAAAAAGGCTTCTAGGTAGTCTAGCATTTTCTTCCAAAACCTTCTTTACAAAAAGAAAAGAGACATATATTAAAGTCATTTATTATTTTATGATACAGTTCTATAGGCTCTGAAAGGCAGATTTTAATGGAAGGGGGAGGAGGGATGGAAGCTCTTCTCTCTGCTGGTTCACTCTCCCAGAGACCTCGATGGCCAGAAATAAGCTGATCTGAAGCTGGGAGCCCCAAGTGGGTGCAGGATCAGAGCCCTTGACCCGTACTGCCATCCCAGCCACAGGCAGAGTGGATGGAAGGTGCTAGCAGGTGGAAGATGAGCAAATTGAGCCATCATGTTGGCCTCCCTAAACTTGCTGTTTTGGTTCTTCAATTCTCTCCTGCTTGGTTCTGTAAGGACACAGACTTACATGTGTCTTTGACTGCATGGTCCATGGAATTTTTTTTTTAAAGATTTATTTATTTTATTACAAAGTCAGATATACAGAGAGGAGAGACAGAGAGGAAGATCTTCCGTCTGATGATTCACTCCCCAAGTGAGCACAATGGCCAGTGCTGTGCCGAACCGAAGCCAGGAACAAGGAACCTCTTCTGGGTCTCCCATGCGGGTGCATTGGGCTGTCCTCCACTACTTTCCCAGGCCACAAGCAGGGAGCTGGATGGGAAGTGGAGCTGCCAGGATTAGAACTGGCGCCCATATGGGATCCTGGGGCGCGTTCAAGGCGAGGACTTTAGCTGCTAGGCCATGCCGCCAGGCCTGGTCCATGGAATTTTTAAATCAGATCCTTGGTTTGTGTCATAGTTCGTGTCTCCAACACCACGTTCCAGGCCCAGCAGCTCCTGAGTGGGGCTGAACGACGCACCTGAGACAGATGCGCTTTGTTGCCGGCCTTGTTCACACCCCTGCTGCTGCTGAAGACACGCACCAGTGCCTCTGCAGGTTCCCCACTGGCCATGTGACTTTGGTCCCAATGAGATTTTTCCAACATAGAACTTTTTTCCTGTTTCCACTTCTCTTAGCCCAAGCTTGCACTTCTGGCTCTTTCTGTCACTGTGCTCTGATGTCAGACAACACAGGAAGCCACATGAGACCCCCTGGAGTGCGGAGTCTTGGGTTTTGGAGCAGCCTGGTGGGGGAGCCATGCCACGCGATGGCCTGGGCAGCGAGCATGTTCAGCTGCCAAGAACAGTGCCCCTTGGGGTGGGGAGCAGAACCAGGAAGGATGGTGGAGTCTTTTTCTAAAAAGTACGACATTGGGCCGGCTTTCCAGAACAGTGACGCGCAGTGTGGCCTGTGGCACTAGTCACCCGCTGGTTGTAACGTTGGCCTTTTCTGTTTCCTCTTGGCAGCAAGATCTCCGTGGTTCCTCCTACTCCCCCTCCTCTCAGTGAAAACCAGTGTGGCTGCAGCCCTGGGGGGGTAACGTATCTGCCTGTTCGAGCCCTGTGCCCCTCGGGGGAGATAAGGCCAAGGTACCTGGGGCTGGAGGAGGCAGGAGACCCAGGCCCCAGGCGAGGTTGGAAGTGAGGTCAGCCTTGGTGGCCACAGGCCATCTGCATGGTCAGCTGGCCGTCCCTTCCTGCCTGCACCCCCTGCAGTCTCCCCTCTCTGTTCCTGGTGAGTCGCCTGCTTCCTGTCCCAGTGGAGAGCCTCTGAGGTTGCAGGAGACGTATGGGTGTGTACAAGTGGAAGATGCTATGCAGTGAGAGCAGACTGTCCTCGTGCCTGCAGGCCCTGCTGCACGGCGGGCCAGTGCTGACCGGGCCAGCAGATGCACGTTTGATGTAACGTCCTTGGGAGAGTTGCCCAGGTTTCCAACCTGAGAGGGGCACATAATTACACGTGTCTGACTGCCTCCTACAGCTGTTGCGAGAAGTCTTCAGTAATGATGTCTGTGCTCGCGCTGGACAAGCACCAAGTGCCAAAAACATGGCCTGATTCTCACCATCATTCTGTGAATTAAAGGGAGCAGTTTTATCTGTAAGAGTGGTTGTGTCTGCTGATGAAAGAGGAAGCTTATTCATTTCTCATTCCCAACTGGGACTCCAGGGTAACCTATAAAATCCTGCCCAACTTTCAACTAGACATTTTAAATTCTCCACAGTTATTCTAACACTTAGGTGTTCAACGTTAGGTAGGTGGGTGGATGGATGGATGGCTGGATGGACTGATAAGCAGGTGGATGGGTAGATAGGTAGGTGACTGGATAGATGGATGGATGGGTGGGTGGATGGATGGGTGGGTGGATGGGTGGGTGGATGGATGGGTGGGTGGATGGATGGGTGGGTGGATGGGTGGGTGGGTAGATGGATGGATGGGTAGATGGGTGTGTGACTGGATGAATGGAAGGATGGATGAGTGTACCTTGGAGGGGAAGTGATCTCTCTGTTGTTTCTTCTTTCCTTTTTTCCTCTTCTGCATTGGGGAGCAAAACTCCTTGGCCCAGGCCGGTCACCTTGTGCTGTGCAGTGCTCTCAGCCCCTGTGTCACGTGCGGGTGGGGCCCGAAGAGAAAGGTTAAACAAGCAGTAATCGACTTGTGGACAGTCATCAAGCCATTGAGCTGTCAGAGGCAGTAAGCTGCCTGTAAGAGGCAGCTGTTATCTTGTCTCCTTTTAATGAGGATGTCAGGAGAAACGCTGAGTAAAGATGATACCCAGCTCTGGGAGGACTCTGCCCTCTTCACCTCCAGACACGTGTGTCCACGCCCATGCCCACCCCCACCTGGCAGTGTTGTGGGGCTGGCAGCCTGGAAGCTGCAGGACAAGGAACTCAGTCAACCATGACCCTCATGCTCTCCTGTCTCTATTTTACATACAGGACCTGGGCCAGTTTAAAGGATTTAATAAATCATTGGAAAATTTGTTTCTGTCTGTTACCACCCACATGAAAAGTAAGTGGATGCTTCACAAGAAGCTTTCCCTTTAACCCTGACATCCTTGGCTGGGCCTGTCCCCCAACTCTCTGTGTCTCCCTCTCCTGCACCTCCAGCAGCCTCTGGTCCTTTTGCCTGTGGGAAGAGGGTATGCCATTTCAACCCTGCCCAGCACCCTGGCCAATCTGACTTGGTGCTGTAGGCAAAGGGAATGAGCCTGCAGTATCAGCCCCTGGAGTTGCTCTTCTGTGCAACTTGTGTTTTCCTGTTGATGTTGAAATGCAGGGCCAGAAGCTGCAGGGGAGGCCCGCGCCTGACAGGCGAGGTTGGGCGGGCTGGCCCTGCATGGCCACTCCCAGCTGCTGGTGCTGCCCAGGGAGGTCAGGCCGGCAGGAGAGACAGGTCCTTCCAGTCCTTTTAATGATCAGTAATTTCTAGATGCTGGCGTGCTGGGCAGTCTTAGACAAGAAAGAGAAAATGAAGACTCTGGGCGTCATCCAGGAGTCACCCAAATTCCTTCCTGTTCCATTCCCTCCCCGCTAAGAGTACACAGGAGATGTCTCCGTAAGCAGTCCACGCACACTCCATATTATGAAAGAGCAGTGCATGAATTTCAACCAGTTTTGAACCAAACTGTGTAACTCTAGGTCCCAGGAATTTCCGAAGTCCCCTCGCCTAAGCCTGCCCATTAGCAGTCAAATCTCTCAGACAGGTTCTCCCTGTCCATATATCATGAACTTCCCAAGTGGATCCAGTTAGATGCAGGCTTTGGGAAGCTCCTGACACACAGCTGTGGGGGAGGCATCCCCTGAGGGCTGGGTGACCTCGGACAGCCTCAGCGTCTCACACCCCATGGGCTGCCATTTGCCTAGGCAAGGAGGTCTTTGAGGACCAAGGTGTGCTGGTCTCTCCGGGTGCCAACCACAAACAGATGCATGTGCTTCTGGGTGTAGACTTGAGAGCGTGGGTGGTGTTGCTGGCAGAGGGCAGAGCCTCAAAGGCATCCCAGGGGTGAGGCAGGTGCCAGCAGCTGGGGTGACTACTAGGGGGTCTCCCTTAGCAGAAAAGCCACATGTCCTGGGACAGAGCTGTGGGTGGTGCAGACAGGAGCTTGGGGGTTCCCACAAGTGGATCACACCTGAGGCCTGTGTGTTCCCTGCAGGTGGCCGCTGGCCACATGCAACTAACCCCCTACCGCAAGGCTGTAGAAGAAGCCCCAGCTTTCATAGATCATAGATGTGGCTTCATGAATCATTTTATTAGAGTCCATGTTTCAACGGTTACTTTGGACATAGTTGGCTAAATACAGAGTTAAAATTAATCATACCTGTTCTTTTTACTTAGAAAAAAAAGTCATTTCCTTGAAAGGCAAATTTAGGAAGGAGGGATCTTCTGTTTAGTGGTTTATTTCCCAAGCTGCTACATTGGCCAGTCCAGGCCAGGCTGAAGCCGGGAGCCTGAAATTCCAACTGAGTCTTCCCCTGGCAGGGCAGGGCCCCAGGTACCTCCTCTGCTTTCCCACGTGTGTTAGCAGGAGGCTGGATCAGAAGTGGAGCAGCCGGGACTTGACTCAGTGCTCACGTGGGGTGCTCACGTTGCTTAACCACTGCATAATGCCATCCCCCTGAATCCTACTCCACCTCACTTCAAAAAGCTCAGAGAAATAGAATTATTTTGTAAGGTGTGTGGCAGGAATCCCTAAACAGTGGGCTTGTCCGGTAACAGCTGCCTTGCAGTTGGCGGGCGTGTGTGGGGCAGCCCATAGTACAGAAGAAGGTGGGGGTGGGGCCTTCCTTTCATCCCCTACCTAGATGTTGGCTCTGCTGTGGTGGTGTGAGTCCTGTGTGACCACATGGGGCTCTTGAAGGACCCCAGCCCTCCTCCCGCGTCTAGCACGAGGGTCTGGTGTCCAGGAAGGCGTCTCAGTCCTGGGCAGTAGTCATGGTGCCCTGGGACCCTGGACCTGTGGGCTGCACTGCCCCACCTGCCATCCCTTCTGTCTTCCAGAACTCTCCAAGTCCCAGAATGACGTGACTTCTGAGAAGCACCTGCTGGCCACTGACCCCCGGCAGTGTAGGGGTCGCTCCGAGAGACGCAGCCAGTCTGACACGGCCGTCAACGTCGCCAACAGGGTACCCAGACCTGCCGCCTCCGAGCTGTTGCCTTCACACTGTCTTTACAAAGCTTTCCCTGTTTGTCCTGTAGATTGGCTTTTCCTGTGATAGCAGACATTGGGCAGCTGCAGAAATGTAATCAGGAGCAGGTGTATCTGGGCAGGGCTGGGCAGACTTCAAGGTCATCTGGAAGCTGTTCAGAACAGAGCAGGCTGGGACCTGCAGTGGGGACGCCAGGGTGTCCCGGCAGCTCCACGGCCAGACCGAAGGCTGGGAGCTTCCCTGCAGGGCCGACATTTGCTCTCTCTGTGGGGTCTGAGGACCACTCATGGAGTGTCCAGGATTAGGTCTCCTTTCCATTCAGAGCCAACAAGCTGTGGTGAAAACCTGGCCCGAGGGAGCTTTGGCACTGTTAGTGCCACGTAATCCTGCACAAGCAGGTGGTAGCTGTCTCTCAGGGCATCCACACCATGAGAGAACAGACCCCTAAGGAAGGCTGTGAGGGTAATAATTACTTTGCTTTGCAAGGGATTAGCCAGTCCCAAAGCAGGTGCACAGGATCGGAAGATCAGGGCCAACGTGGTCAAGGTGACCTGGCTGTCCAGGCACCCGCACCTGCTGTTTGCAGGCCAGACAGGGCTGCTGTACTCAGCTGGATTTGACAGGACAACACAGGTGTCCTCTCTCAGCAGCTGTGGGCTCTCCTCAGGGCGTCTTCAAGCAGACTGTCCCTTAGGCCGCACTGTGAGTTGGCCCCGCTGTGCTGCTGCCATGCTGGCATCCTCTCCCGCCTCCTGATGCCTCTCCACGTGCGACCATCCTCCCTCTGCACAATGGACACCTGAGCACTAATCCCTGCTCTGCCCCCAGCTAAGGGCTCTTGTAAGCAAGTGTAGGAGAGTGGGTCACCCCGAAGTGCCCTTTCTGGGCTGCCTACCAACAGGCCATAGCTGCCCTGTCTCATTCTATCATAACTGTTCCTGGCCGGGAAGTATTGCTCCATTTTACATTCCAGGAAACAGGCTTGGCATGATGAAGTCACACACCCAGAGTTCTATGGTCAGAACATGTGGGGCTGGGGTCCCTTCCCTGGGCTGGACTCCAGACAGTCGCAGATGCATTTCCAGCCAATCCCCAAAACTTCCCACCCCAGCCAGGAGTCAGGTGATGGACATGCTGCCAGTTCCTAGGCCACAACTTAGTGCCAGGTGTCTCAAGGGTTTGAAACATGTGTGCTTGGTGAGAGTTTGAAGTCCTGCAGTGCGGGCAAGGTGAGGTCATGTCAGCATCCCGTCTGCTGTGCTGGAATCCGCTCCCTTGCTTCAAGTGAAGCAGATGGAGGAGAAGCCAGCACCTGCCAGCCACCTGCTTTCCAGGACTCATGGAGTACGGCAAGCTGGGCAATCTTAGGATGACAAGAGGTTTATTCTGGCTCAGGGCTCTGATCTAGAGCTGAGGGCTCACCTCTCACCAGCAGAGTCCAGAGGTGCTGTGGGGCGCCAGAGGCTGAGGCTGGGAGTGTGCGCACCCACCGGTGTCTTCCTGCCTCCCTCCCTCTTGGGAATCCACCTGTATCCAGCCATGGCACCAGGAGGGCTCATCCAAGCCTGGGTGCCCTGTAGGAGTTCCATCTAAACCCCACAATCCAGTGAAATTTCTGCCCTCTTAATTCTGCATGATGGGAGGGTTATGTCTCAGCCCCTGGGGTTGCACCTGAACTACATCTGTTTATGAGGTGTTCTGGGCACAGTGACACATTTTTATTTTTTATCAGTGACACATATTTATCACATTTAGTTCTTTTATTCATTTATTATTTAAAAACCTGTTTACTTATTGTTTGATTTTGAAAAAGCAAAGTGTAAGAGCTTTTCTATCTGCTGGTTTACTCCCCAAATAGCTGAAGCCAGCAGCCAGCAGCATGTCAGCATGATTTTAAGTATATCCTAGCACTTTCCCAGGCATATTAGCAGGAGCTGGATAATAAATGGAGCAGCTGGGACAGGAACCAGTGCCCAGATGGACGCCACTGTTGTAGGCAGTAGCTTAATGTGCCATGCCACAATGCCAGCCTCCATGTTTAGTTCCTAAAATCGCACTGACAAGGATGCTGTTCCTCCCCTGATCCAACCCAGTCCCTGAGGTTTAATGTGTTTGATCACATGCCCCGATGGCACAGAGCTAAGATGAGCCAGGGCTAGGAGGACCCAGAACTCCTAGGAGGACCCAGGACCCCAACATTCTCAACTCTTTGGGACTTGGCTCTGTGCTCCACATGAGGACGAGTGAGTCAGAAGGGTCCAGGGAGGGGCTTCTGGAAGCCTGGGTGATTCTCGTAGTCACCTGGGCCAGTGGAAGCCATCTGCTGCTAGCACTGACCAAGCCCGGTGGCATGCAGGTGCTATTGGGCGTCACAGTCCCTTTGGTGTTTGACCTTTTCTATCCCGAATGCAATCCTGTGAAGTTTTCACTGTCACCCTCCTTGTTAGAGATGGGGACCATGTCCTCAGAAGGGACAGGGCCCGGTGGAGCCAGGCGTTCTCACACCATCCTGCCGTGAGGCGTGTGTTTCCCACTGTGGCATGGTGGGCAGAGCGAGGGTCGCCAGCTCAAGGAGCCACAGGCTTAGCCTTCAGCACCCAAGAAGCTGACGCAGTGTGGCAGCCTTGGCACAGGCCATCCCAGCTGCTGGTGCTGACAGGCGAGCCTGCCAGATGGTGGGGGGCATGGTCTGACGGGCTGGAGGGCCTCAGGGGCAGAAAAGGAGGTGCAGGGCATCTAGGAATGCATCAGATGAGACCTGTTCCTCGTTGACCTTGCCTCATCCGCGATGATGAAGGCCTCATTCAGAGCAGGCATTTCCCCTCTGTATCCAGCCCAAACAAGGCAGTTATTGAAATACATTTTTAAAAAGTTTGTCTCAAGAGCATGGATGGGCAGCTGGGGTCCCGACCACCCCCACCCATCCCGATAGGAGCGGACCCAAACCTTCAGGATTTACTGGAGGCAGGGGCTTAGAGCACAAAATTTTGGGCATGCCTTAGCTTTCAGAATAGCATGGACTCTGCTAGTGGCTTTGAAGTACTTAGTTTTGCGTTTCAGGTCCCTGCGAGGTCTTTGAGCTGTGAGCTTGCTGGGCTGTGCACTCCCTGCTATAATGATGGCTGGCTTGCTCTGTGCTCCTTTGGGGAACTTCATGTATCAAACCCCACACTAGGCAGCTTAGCCAGAGCAGGGGTTTGGCCACAGTTGCTCATGTTCTTGCAGTCCTGGGGCTGAGGTCTGAGTCAGGGCCCTGGGGCACCTGCTCTTCCTGATGTGTCACAAACCTTGCCCTTTCCTACCTTGACCTTCTCCCCTCCTCCATGCTGTCACCTCCCAAAGCCGTGCCTCCAAATTCCTTCCCACTGAGGATAAAGGTTTCAAGCTATGAGTCTGGGAGCACAGTGCAGCCATGGTCCCCACCGAGGAGGAACATGGCTCTGTGCTATGGGTGGGTAAGGGAGCGATCTTTTTCTTCTGCTTCTTTCTCCTTTTGGGGCAGCCCTTATTTTTGGAATCTTCTCACTGCACCTGCTGCCTCCTGTAGCCCTCTGCCGCCTCCTCCGTGCCTTTGGTTGATGCTTCTCTGTGTAGGAGCAGCAGCCCTCTCCCTGTGTGTCACCCTCTCTGTGTCCAGTTCTCTGCCTGGCCCCTCAGGGTCTGCAGCTGTAGGGACATTTTCCCCCACTGGGCCTGTGATGGCTGCTCCACTGGGATGCCGGACCCTTTGTTCTTTTCCAGTGCCTGATGACAGCTCACTCAGAGCACATCCCCGGAGACGCCTATGCTGAAGTCTCCCTCGCCTTTTCCCCGTAGATGCGTCTGCCTGCCCGATTTCCCTGCATCTCTTTCTCCCTGTGAGCGAGGGAGCCATCAGAGAACGGATGTGGCATCTTCTCCCCGTCCCAAGCTCCGGGCCTGAGAGTGATGGGTTGAACATAGTGTCGCTTAATCAAATGTCTGTTGGAACTGAGCTGACCTCTGGGTGTGGGTTGTGTGAATTGTAATGTGGAGGTCACCATTTCCTTTCATTTGTTCTCTTTCTCACTTTATTCCTGAAAATGAAGACTAGTGTGCAACTGTGGGATGTCCAAGTTTAACCCAGCATTAAGATCTGAAGTCTGCATTTTGAAACTTGCCATTTTTGGCCAGGAGGAGGGTTTCCCAAGCTGCCTGTTGAGTTTGCTGCTCTGTGCCAGCGCTGTCTGGTAGAACTTCTGGCCAACTGTGGAAGTTGTTTTCTCAGCTAGATGAGATGGGAGCCACTACCACAGGCTTCAACTGAGCAGTTAAAATGTGTCCAGTGTCACCAAAGAGCTGAGTTCCTTGGTTCTATTTGGTGTCAGTTAATCTGAACTTAAATCTAAACAGCCCGTATGGCTAGAGGTTACTGTTTGGAAAGCACAGTCATGCCCATTGTAGACGCACCAGCTAATAGCCAGGTGTTTTTGTAGAATTTAGAGGTACATTTCGGTTTTCCCCTATTTTATGAGCATGCTAGGGCTAAATAACTCAGCTTACTAGTTTGAATATTATTAAATGCCAGGATTATTGTTAGGTCAACATTTGGACTTTAATGTTTTTCCAGCCTGCAACTCTGTCATTACTGCTCATCGGTACCAAAGCTTAGCAGTGTCTGCTTGAGGCCCTGCAGGGGAACGGGGCTTGGGGGACGGTGGAGGAGTGGGAGGGTTGGGGTAAGGGTGTGGGGGCAGTGAAGTATGGGAGGGCCTGGCTGCTGGGCGTGCTGGGGGGCACCACACCTGAGCAGATGGAGCAAGGCTGATGGGGTGACCTTCCCTTCCCCAGAAGGTCAGTGCTCCAGATGTCCTGAGGCCCTTTGGCCAGGAGAAGCCCAGAGACCCTGCTAGCCCTGACCGGAAGCAAGAAGACCTCTCCTGCAGCCCAGAATCCGGCACTGTATTCTCCAGAGGCCTGAGACACGTGAGTCCTGTCCCACCACCCCAACACACAACGTGCGGTGTCACAGGAATGGACGCACGGGCAGGAACAAGCTGTTGTCCTCCGAGATCAACCAGACCAGGACAACAGAGCTTGGCAGGAATGTGTTGCTTTGTATTTAGAGAGAGAGAGAGAGAAAGAGAGAGAGAGAGAGAGAGAGAGAGAAAGTATATTTACCTCTTGCGAACATCATCATACTTCTAGAGAATAATATAAACTAATCATGTTATTTGACAGGCAGATTTGCAATTTGATAGTCTAATTGATCAGATTTTCTTTTTTAGTTCTTTCTGTGTCTTGTCTAGCCACAAGCCATGAAGCTATTCTTCTATATTTCCACTGAGAAGCTTAAAAAAAACCAAAACTTTGCTCTTGATTTAGGTCTGTGTCCCAGCTTTGTCTTTATTGATGTTGAAGCTCGTCTTTTGTCGGTCTGAATATTTAGTCCATTTGTTGGAGACTGACTTCCCCTGGTGACTTTGCTCTGTTTTCTGGGCCCTTGATTCCATCCCGCAGACCTTGTCACTTGCTCTAGGCCAGCAATAGTCTTGGGTACTGTAGTTTTGTGACTAAGTCAAGGTTGGATTACATAAGACTTCCAAGTCGGTCCTTTTCAGAGATCACTTTGTGATATTTTAAGTGCAGTTTCTGTTTATAGACAGACATTTTTAGTCATTTGTTTAAAATGTAATTGAATGGCTGGCTTTATTCCTTGAACTGTGATGGATATGGTTCAGTAGAGAGTTCTGGATGTGGGGTTCTGAGGCCTCAAAGTCAGCTCCCTTCCCCATGACGTTTGCCCTTAGACAATGACAAAAGCTCTCTAAACTTTAGTCCCCAGCTGGGGCAATCAGTGTCCCAGTCCTGTTTACTGCCTTTTGAGTGAAATGAATCCCATGGTGTGACATAATGTTAAGAAATCTCTGGAAACTGCCTTCTTGGCTTATGGTCCAGTTCCTGCAGTGACGGCGTGTGAACCAGCACACGCTTTCTGAAGCGCTGATGCCCTCGGGTTTTTGTGTTCCGCTGTGAAGTGCTGTTGGGCTCTGAGAACTGGGCACGCCTCCCTTTTGTTTGTGATTGTCCAGCAGCAGGGGGCGGGCAGACTCCACACTGCAGGAGAGCTCACGTCCACTGTTCAATCCCCGACCCCCTTGTCACACTGACACACCATGGTCCCCGTCCCTATCCACTCCTCCCCAGCCCCCGGCCCCTGTGAGCGGGTGGTTCCCTCACCTGCAGAACCACAGACCTGTTTCCCTTGGGGTCTTGGGAGAAACATGGCACTTTGGGCGCTACGTGAGGTCAGCCCTGCTGAGTCAGGATGCTTAACCTGACAAAAGCCCAGGGGAATGGCGACACAGAGTGTGAGCAGCACTGGTGGGGTGGCGCCTTGGAGCCCTGAGGAAGGCATGTAACTTGCAAGGCATGTAACTTGACCGCTTTAGGACTGGGCTGTCCAGGGGGACCGTCATCAGTCACAGGTGGTCGCTGACCACAGGGATGTGGTTGAGCTGGTCTAAGACTCTGGACATTAAGGCTGGCATGAAAAAAGTGTAAGTACCTCATTCATAAATGTTATATAAACCCATGTTGACAGTGGTTTGGATTAGAAAGACGTACTATGAACATCTTATCTATTGCTCTCTTAATGTAGCTGATGAAGCATTTTCTTTCTTTAAGAGTTATTTGAAAGGCAGAGTTTCAGAGAGACAGACAGACAGAAATCTTCCACCTGCTGGTTCACTCCCCAAATGACTGCAAGGGCTACAACTGGGCCAGGCGGAAGCCAGGAGCTTGGAATTCCATCCAGGTTTCCCACGTGGGTGGCAGGGCTTGAAGTATTTGTGCTTTTCTAGGAATGTTCACAGGGAGCTGGATTGGAAGTGGAGCAGACAGGACTGGAACCAGTGCTCTAATAGCATGCTGCTGTTGCAGGAGGCAGCATAATCCGCTGTGCCACACCCCGGCCCTCGGGCATTTTCAAGCACGTATTTTGCTCACGTCTGTACTGGACAGTGTCGGTCTGGAGTCTGTTTTTGGTCAGAGCAGGACCTCTTTTCCCACTGTTCTCTGGGGCAGTGGGTGGGCGTCCCTCTATCTACTTCCGGCCCAAGAAGTTTGTGTTTTCCCCAAGTTCTTCAACTGCTCTGTAGGTTTAAGAACTTTGTAGGTCCAGAAACCAGCACATAGGCATCACCCTGTAGCCGCTGGGGTCCTGAGCAACCTGCCATATCTTGTTCTGACCCCACCTCCCTGGGCCCTTGCTCCCTCCACTCAGCCAGGCCCCTTTGAACCTTAGGATACCACAGATAGCCCCAAGCCACTCCCATGAGGGCTTTGCTCCAAGGGTACCTTGCAGGGGAGGAGAGCCTGTTTTCTCTCCAGCTCCTTCCCTGGCCTGTGTTTATCCCTGCCCTTATCACCTTCCTGGCTGTGTAATTGGCTTATCTGTTGCTATGTCCCCCTCCGCACTGGAATGCAGTTCGCCAGGTGCCTTGAGTACTATCCGAGCCACAGTGGTCTTCTGTAAATACTCCTGGAGTGATCGCATGGTCCTCCCCACCCTGGGCTGGTGCTGCCTGGACCCAGGAAGGTCCTGCCACGGTGGATGCCACTGTCAGCAAAATGGAGCTGCAGGAGTGAGGGACCCGCTCAGGTCTGCTGGGGCCCCAGGCCTCATTGCCCGCAGTGTTTGTTGACCTGCGCCGTAGTGTGGTTCCCCTGACCCACAGCCCTGTGGTCTGGCTTCACCCGCTTGGTGCTCAGCCAGACCTGGAATGCTGTCAGGGTTAGGGGCAGGGTGCTGGAGCAGTGGGGTAGAGAGCTCACCTGTCTGTCTCCACGCGACTCACTGGGCCCATTGATCTTGGCTGGAACTCTCTCTGATTTGTGCCCTTGAAACTTAGGGTCACGAGATGGAGTTATGGCGCATTTACATGTGTCTTGTTTCAGTTAGACCAAACGAAACGAAACGCCCTGGAAACGAAAGTCCCACAGCGTGAACAACCAGTTATTGCTTCCTGTGAACATTGCCTTCCCTTTAGGCACATCCTGTCCACTGAGCTGGGGCTCGGAGAGCCAACTGGAATCTCCGTGTACTACGAGAGTATCCGTGGGCCGTACAGTTGGAAGTTGCTCAACTTCCCATGTGGTCTTCAGAGCAAAGGAAGCAAGCTGCCTTTGGGGCCCGCGGTGGTGAACGTGGGCTGGCAGGAGTGCAGAGCAGTGGTCTTAGGGGCTGTTTGGATGCTGCCATGTTTATGGAAGGCAATTAGCAAAACATCAAAGAAACCTTTAGCATGCATGCTCTTGGGGGCCAGTGCTGTGGCATAGCGGAAATCCTAAGTAATGGGTGCTGGGTGTAGTCCTCATTGCTCTACTCCTTTTTTTTTTTTTTTAAAGTTTGTTCTAGTATTTATTTAAAAAAAGTGTGTGTGGGGAGGGGACACAGGGCTATGTGGACCTCTGATTCTGATTAGGATGGAGAAGTTCAGGGGAGGGAAAGGTGATGAGACCAATGTGTCATCTGTGTCCGCTGTGTGGAGGCAGGTCAGTGGGCAGGGAGAAAGTGTACTGCTTCTTGCTGTCACATTGGTTTTGTGAGGCCTCGATGCAGGGAAGAATGTTCTAAGGGAGTCACTGGAGTAGTCTTGTTGTTCTAGAAGGTTGTTGGCTTCATTACACCAGAGGTGTAAATTCCTTTCTAAGCCCGTTGGCTATCCTTGTCTACCTCGGTGTGCCCAAATACTCAGGTGCTTATTGTAGAGCTGGCCTGGAGTGTTGTTGTAACTTTTTCTTTGCATCTTTTGATGTGGTACTTGAAGCCTTCTGTTGCCTTAGACGAGCCAGCTGTCTTGTCTTTCGTGTGCATCTGGGTCTGCTCTCCATTCTTGCATGAAGGTCAGCCACTGAGGTGGCCCATGTTCTCCAGGTTGGACTGCATGTCTGTGTGATTTTCCCTGAGGTCAGGAATCAGCCCAAGCGCTGGAGCTTCTACACTCACGTGGGAGACCTGGCTGGGGTCCCAGGCTGTTGGCTTCTGCCCGGCCACCCTGGCCATTCGGGCTGTTAACCAGCATAAGGAAAGAACGTGCCATGCTGGACTGTTGCTTCCTGATCTAACAGGGCTGGCGGAGTCAACTTTGTACTGCACGTGCGTGTCCTAGTGCAGCCAGCACTGGTGGATCTTCTCATGGATCAGGTGCTCACGTGGTTGTGGCCCATCCATGGACAACTCTGGGAGAGTTGCTTTATGCCCTTGCTTATGGTCAATTAAAAAAAAAAAAGCTGGTTTCTTTATCTTTATTTGAAATGCATATTTTACAGAGAGAGGAGAGACAGTTCTCCACCCTTTGGTTCGTTCCCCGGGAAGCTCTCCTTGTTCCGGGAACTGGGATCCTTGAGCTCTGCCTGACGTCATATCCTCGGATTCCTCTCCCCTCTGAAGCTGCTAAAACCTTTGCTCACCTGCTGCCGTCCTGTGCTGCCTCAGCACGGATGAGGGCTGGAAATCAGGCCGGCCTCCATGTGCCTCATCCTGGACCTTCATTTCCTAGCTGCGTTGGCAGCTCTGCAGTGCCCGGAAACTGCTTGTTTAATGTGGCTTTCTAATTCTTAGCAGGAAAGTTGGGGTAACTACAGAGAATTTCCAACTTAGCCTGATGTAACTCCCATGATGATGCCATTTTTATGACGCAGGCCCAATCAGCTCTTCTGTGTATCTGTCTGGTTCTTCTCCCAAGCAGCCCACTCATTTTGCCAATCTCCCTTACACAGTTGTCCTTACCCATTCTCCCTTATCCGTTCTCCCTTACTCATCTCTTCCAGCTCCACTTTTTATGCCTCCCTCATCCACGCTGTTGCTCCATCTCAAGTACTTTTATAGTTTTACACTTTTCAGAGCCAGCCACTGGGTGTGGAGTAGGGGTTGTCTTCCTGGCATTAGTTGATTCAGATTCCTATCCCTCTGATGAGTGGCTAGTTTGGTCTGATTTCTCTCTCTGGTGGTTCTGACTGTCCCAAGGCTTGCTTCGTTTCTTTGGGGATGTTTTGTAGCTTGGAGAAAGTGATTGGTAATTGCATGTTGAAACAACTTAGGCTTTTCTACTCCTATAACTTCAGATCCCAAGTTTGGCCTCTGTTTTCATGCCCACTCCGTTCTATACATGTTCTGCTCACCCATCTTTTGGTTCGCTAATCCTCTAGGTTGTGTCTGATCTAAGGTTACCTTCATTTATGGAGTCTTCATTTGCGTCACCCTACTTTGTAGGCCTTTATTTTCCTTGGAGTCAAGTACCCCGAGGAGATTCTCCGTATTCTCGTCTATATCCTTGACCACATTAATGAGAGTGGTGGGACTACTGTACACAAATGGTGGCAATTCCTAAAGCACATTTGACAATGACAAATTAGGCACAGTCTGTGCCACTTCTCTGTGTGGTTGAAGTTTGGTTGCCCTAGTTTGTAGTGGTAGTTGTGTTTTTATTTTGGGTGCCCATATATATTTAAGCATGGTTCATTGTTACACTTAGCCTAGCTCATTCTGTTTCCTTCCACCCTAAACCGAGGAAACTGACATAGCTAAGGAACAGCAGAGCTGGCATTGGAACTCGGCTCTCTGGGATCCCCAGGTACAGCCCTGCACCCTCGTTCCATGTCCTGTGTGGATGCCGTGTGCCCTCCTGGAAGTTAACTGCAGAGCTGCACAGGAGGTAGTCTGCCTCACCCTAAGTGACTCCTGTGAGAGATGGCGTGGCCTTTATCACTAGGCAGAGATCTTTTCTGGGCAACACAGGCTCTGCCAAGGACTCTGCCCCTTAGGACAGGGCACGTGGTTACTGACCTTGGCAAAGTACAGGCTGGTGCGTTACTGACTGGGTGGGAGTCTACATCTGTGTTGGGTATGGATTTAGTATCTTAGGGGTAGAACTGCAGGACTGACAACAGATAGTGAAGTCATTTATTGTGTCTGTCATCTCGATTTCAGGAGAGCTTAATTAGCATTAACAGCACGAGCACAGAACTGGGCAATTTTGATAACGCCAATGTTACTGGAGAAATAGAATTCGCCATTCATTATTGCTCTAACACCCACTCGTTAAACGTATACGTCAAGGCCTGTAAGAACCTTGCCTATGGAGACGAGAAGAAGAAAAAGTGCAATCCGTAAGTGTTTCTAAGTTTTCACAGAGATCATAGATGTGTTGATCTAAGATGCATATGGCAATGTGAACATCCAAGGAAGGCCAGGACAGCTGCGGAAAAGAACAGAGAGGGCTGTTGTTCTAACTCATACCAGTCGTTGACCTTGTATCATGGCTTCTCATTTGTGGAAATGTATAGTGATGGAGTACTGGGGTCTGCCATATTCAGATACGGGGGTATAATGGAACATGCACCCCTGGATTCCCAGTGGAACTGTTGGCAATGTGTAGACAAAGGGATGCTGGACTGTCTGACATTGTCTGTACCAGCAGTGTTGGGGTACACTTAAATAAGAGACTGATGGAATCATGATTCCTTACGAAGAACTACAGCATTGTAGCAAAATGGGGGAAATTCTGTGTGGGGGATGGGGGTTTGGGGGGAAATTCCAATCTATACAAAATTGTATCACATAATTCAAAAATTCAAAATAAAGATAATAATAATAAAAGAACAAAGAGGAAGAGTCCGGCTTTAGGAATCCTGTGCTGCAGAGACTCCAGCGATGTGTTAAGGGAAGACACACAGATCAGCAGATGAACCCACAGGGCGTGGGATGTTCAAGACCAGCAGTGTTGGTCCATGGCAGCTGCTCTAGCAGAATCTCACTGACTGCTGCTAAATCCCTAACTAAAGAATTTAAATTCAAAACAAAGGGGCCATGCACAAATACTGATGTCAGGAAGGAAAGAGCAGACAGAAAGATGGCATGCTCGTGCAAGAAAGAGCAATAGGAGGGCGTTTTAAAGGTTCATGGGGACATATCTAGAGCTGCTGTTGGAGGTGGGCTCTATGGGACAGCAGGTCTGCTCGGAACAACAGTGTCCCGTTTCAGACTGCTTGAGTTCAAGTCCCGCCTCTGCTTCCACTCTAGCCTCCTGCTAATGCTCACAGGGGACGCGTCTTTTGATGGCCCAAGTCCCTGGGCCACTGCCACCCATGGGGGAGGCCAGGAGAGAGTCCCTGGCTCCTGGCTTCCACCTGGCCCAAACACAGCTGTTGTAGGCATGTGGAAAGGTGTTTTTGTGGCGTCTGGATTTGGACTCTGGGCAAGTTTTGACACTGCTTGTGCTCAGAAAGCTGCAGATTTTGAAGTGGTTTGGATTTTTCTTTTAAACTGTATTTATTTATTTGTTATTTAAAAGACAGAATAATGGAGAGAGAGATGCATTTTATCCACTGGATCACTCCCCAGATGGCCACAAGCCAGGAGCCTGGAACTCCATCTGGGTCTCCCAACATGGGTGGCCGTCTTCTGCTGCTTTCCCAGGCGCACCAGCAGGGAGCCGGATCAGAAACTGAGCAGCTGGGATTTGAACCAGCACTTGGATGCGAGCTGTTGGCATTACAGGGGGTGCCTTTTCGGATTGGGGAGGCGTGTACTGTAGCAGACAAACATTCAAGAGGGTGCATGAGTTACAGGTGGCTTACACCATGAGAACCCGTACAGGAAGGAGCGAGTGTGCAGCTGCAGCTTTACACCGAGAGAGCAAAGCACACCGCAGCACAACTGGGTAATTAACACCACGGAACGAGTCGATTTAGGGAACGGCTCGAAAATGGAAAAGACAAGCCAGGGAGACTGAGGAGAAATGTCAAGTGGTGATGTAAAGATGGCAGAATGAAGTGTAGGGATTCCAGCTCATGAGTATGGCTGTGAGTGGGAAGTCAATGGTTGCGTCCCTTAAGCGAAGTGACAGGTGTATGGAGCAGAATCTCTGTGTTGGCGTCACGCCGTCAGGGTGGAGTTGATATATTCTGTTTCACATGTACAGGACTGTTTAACGGTCTGGGACACAAGGATAAAGGGACAACAAGAACTTGGACATGGTGGATCTTGGTCTGCCACGTATGTGATACAACCAGATGGAATTCTTGGCTCTTGGCTTCAGCCTGGCTCAGCCACAGATGTTACAGGCATTTGGTGGAGTGGGACAATAGACGGGAATGCTGTGGCTCAAATGATGCCCCCCGCACACGCATGCATGTATTATATATATGTGCTTTGTTTATTTGAAAGTCAGAGTTACATCGAGGGAGGAGATCTTCCCTCTGCTGGCTTACTCTCCGTTTGGCCACAATAGGCAAGGCTGGGCCAGGCTGAAGCCAGGAGCTTTTGCCTGTGTGCTGCTTTCTCAGGTACATGAGCAGGAAGCTGGGTCAGAAGCAGAACAGCCAGGACATGAACTTTGCTAATGCTTTATCTGTTACATTATAATGTCAACCCTTCAGATATTTTGAAAAGTTAGACATTCTTAAGAGTGAGTGGAAGAATGCAATTCAAAATCTGCTTTGGTATGGAAGACTGTTTAGATGCATGCGTGATTTTTCCATAATAGACATTTTGCAGGAACTTCCCAGAGACCCCTTGTAGATCCCAGGAATATGGAGTGAGGAAGGCAGAGGGAGCTTCTCATTCCACAGGAATGTTCCAGAACATTATGGAGCCAACATGTAGCAAGACTGTAGCACTGACATTGCTTGTGGCAGGCGTGGTGGCCAAGTCCTCCCCATGCACTCCCAGCCCAGTGGGAACCCACGCTTGAGCCGCGTGGTGGCTGAGTCCTCCCCATGCACTCCCAGCCCAGCGGGAACCCACACTTGTGCCCCCAGCTGCGTTCGCCCCGGTCAGGCTCTCACTTGGCCCTCTCTGCCTTTGACCACTAGGTACGTGAAGACCTATCTGCTGCCTGACAGGTCCTCCCAGGGAAAGCGCAAGACTGGAGTCCAAAGGAACACACTCGACCCCACCTTCCATGAGACCTTGACGGTACTTGCTGACCCTGGGTTCACATGCCGAGGCCTCTGCACATCGGGCTGGGCACGGAGGGCAGAGGCTGGCAAGTGGTTCTGCCCAGCCCTCTCTTCTGTGCAGACATGCATTCCCGGAGCTTTTGTGGCTCAGTCAGAGGCAAGCTCACGGAGGAAAAAAGTGTCCGGCAAAAGTGCAGTGCCCCAGACTTGGGAATGGCTTTTGATTAATAATTTCTGAGTAAATGGTGCAAAAAACAGCCTGCTGTCTCTGTCTGGGACTAACAACAGGGCAGAAGGTCATTTCAAAAATCCCTCTGTCTTCTTGGGTTTTTATTACCATTGGAGAACCATTTCCCTGGGTGGGTGGAAGCGAGCGGGGAGGACCCTGAAAATTAACCAGCAGACAAATGTGGCAGGCTGACAAATGTTGGTTTATTTTATGAAAAACAGCAGGCACAGCACAGGAGTTCACCGTGGATTCTGTGGGAGCAAAGCTTGCGAGGTGCAATGCTCTGGGGGTTCAGGCGCCCCTTGCAGGTGCCGGGTCTGGGCCAGGTTCCTGAGACTCCCACTGGGGTCTAGGCAGCCGGAGCACTTTGTAAGGACAGTCTGGGCCGGGGACTGCAGGCTGTAGGCTACTGCCCCTGGAGCTGCAGAGGAGCAGGGCAGCACTGCTGGGTATGGGGAAGGCATTGAGACACGTGGCAGCCAGCAGGAGAGGCCAGCATCTGCGGATGAGTTTGGGGGTGGCAGCATCTGCGGATGGGTTTGGGGGTGGCAGCAGCATGTGGATGGGTTTAGGGGTGGCAGCAGGATGTGGATGGGTTTGGGGTGGCAGCAGCATGTGGATGGGTTTGGGGGTGGCAGCAGGATGTGGATGGGTTTGGGGTGGCAGCATCTGCGGATGGGTTTGGGGGTGGCAGCAGGATGTGGATGGGTTTGGGGTGGCAGCAGCATGTGGATGGGTTTGGGGGTGGCAGCAGGATGTGGATGGGTTTGGGGGTGGCAGCAGCATGTGGATGGGTTTGGGGGTGGCAGCAGCATGTGGATGGGTTTGAGGGTGGCAGCAGCATGTGGTAATACCTGGTGGCAGTGGCAGGCGTCGCAACAGAGTTTGGAGGTCTCCACGCACATTCAAGGCTTTCAAAGGGGCCCAGACTGCTTTTCACTTGTAGCTTGTTACTGATTAATCTTGCCCCATCTCTCCTCCCTCCTGCCCTCTGCCCTCTGCCCTGTTTCAGAACTCTCTTATCATCGTTAAGAAACAGGACTTGGGGTGTAGGTTAGAGATGGGGCCTCATGCTCTGATCTCGGGTGTGTGCTGACAGCTAGCCAGGAGCCAGGGCAGCTCAGCTGGCAGTGAAGCTGGTGTGCTGACTGGGACAGCTTGGGCATAGTGGGCAGCTGGGCAGATGGCCTAGAGTCCCGGGTTGGTAGAGCAGTACTGGCCTGGGCTGCTCTGGGGCCTGCAGCAGAAGCCTTGCTCCCCACCAGGGCAGCCCGAGGGCTAGATATGGAAGGCACCGCAGGGCTGGATGGGTTGGCTGTCCTTCTCAATGTGGATATGTGTGAGAGTCCCCTAGGCTTTTTGAAAAGCCAACTTTTGCTCTGGCAGGTGTGAGCGGACCCCAAGATGCTGGCTTTGCACTGAGCTTTGGGCACCAGCAGTTTTTGCTTCTAAGAAAATTTGAAAAACTTTGAGGGTGCTTCCAAAAGTTCATAGAAATGCTGGTGCAAATTTTTCCAAAGAAATTTTTCACAATGAATTAGAGATCCATTTTTTGAAGAATTTTTTCAAAGATGTTTTTACTTTTATTTGAAAGACCTTCAGAGACAGGATAGGAGAGACAGAATTTACATCTGCTGGTTCATATCCCAAATGGTCGTAACAGGCAGAGCTCGGTGATCTGACCCCAGGAACCAGGAGCTTCTTCCAGGTCTCCCACACGGGTGCAGGAGCCCAGGCACTTGGCACACCCTCCACTGCTTTCCCAGGTACATTGGCAGGGAGCTGGATCACAAGTGGAGCAATTGGGACACAAATTGATGCCCATATTGGATGCCACTATGGCCCAGTGCCAGTCTCTCCATATGCATCTTTTTTTTAAGACTTATTTTATTTTTTATTGGAAAGGCGGATATACAGAGAGGAGAGACAGAGAGGAAGATCTTCCGTCCGATGATTCACTCCCCAAGTGAGCGCAACGGCCGATACTATGCCGGTCCGAAGCCAGGAGCCTCTTCAGGGTCTCCCACGTGGGTGCAGGGTCCCAAAGCCTTGGGACGTCCTCAACTGCTTTCCCGGGCCACAAGCAGGGAGCTGGATGGAAGAGGGGCCGCCGGGATAAGAACCGGCGCCCATATGGGATCCCGGGCGTGCAAGGCGAGGACCTTTAACCACTTGCGCCACCGCGCCGGGCCCTCCATATGCATCTTAAAGAATCCGTGTCTCCCATCTGTTTTAAATTCAGTCACCTGCTAGAAATACGTGTGACATGGGCGAGCTGGGAGGATTTGTAATAGCCTCACAGGATCCAATTTTCTTTCTTTTTAAGATTTTTTTTTAAAAAGAGATTTACTTATCTATTTATTTGAAATTCCAAGTTAGAGAAGGAGAGACAGATCTTTGATCTGCTGGTTCACCTCCCAGGTGGCCCTAACAGACGGGGCTAGGCCGGGTTGAAACCAGAAGCTTCATCTGGATCTCTTACATGGTGACAGGGTTCCAGGAAGGTGAGACGTATTCCATTGCTATCCAGGCCATTAGCAGGGAGCTGGATTAGAAGTGAAGTCACCCTAACTGACAGAGCGGCAGGTGCCACCCCCTTCAGCAGTATCTCAAGTGGCCTCTTGGTTTGGCTCCTAGCTGGCTTCCACAGCCCAGACGGTCCCTGGGGTCGGGTGGCTGGGACTGTTAGAAGGCCCATCTGTGCCAGCTGGAGGAAAGGGCATGGAAGTTGAAGATTGAGAACTAATTCCAACATGCCCTGGGAAACCCTATGGAGTCCAGAGCAACTTGTCCTCCCCTAGAGACCCTGTCCCAGGGTCGGGGTGGACAGAGGCTGAGGGAACCCAGAGTCAGAGCTGGCCAGGGAAGATAATATGGAAGGATAATGAAGGATATGGAATGGTGGGGAATGGGATTTGGGGATGGGGAGAGATGAGAATGGAAGAGAATGATGGGAAATAGGATTTGGAATGATGTGGTGGGTGAGGGGGGGGAGGGGAAAAAAGGAAATATGATGTATGTGGATTTAGAATGATGGGTATTGGGTGGGGGGGAATTATATGGGGTGGGGTTGAAATTGAAGTGAAAATGGTGGAGGAAGTATAAGGGTGGTTAGAAAGTGAAAAAAGATTGATTGAGAATATTTGATTAATTGGGGATAGGAAAATGTGATGTGATGTGGTAGATTTGTTTAAGTGAAAATGGTAAAATGAGAGAAAGGGGTGGGGGGAAGAAGGAAATGGGGGTGGGGAATTTGGGGGGATTAATATGAGGTGAATGAAAGAGGTAAGGGGAATGATATAGGAGGAGTAGTTATTGATTTGTAGGGGGTTTGTAAATGTTTATAGGTGGGTGGGGTAAGAGGGGTGGGTGATAGGGATTGGTAATGGATGGTGATGGGGTGGATGATTGAATGGTAATGAGAGGGGATTGGAATTGATAATTGGTGTTGGTGTATTTGTGCTTGGGAGCCAGAGTAGGGAGGGGGCTCTGTGGCTGCCAGGCCATCTCAGCCTGGTTCCAGAACCTTGGGGAGCTCTGGGACACAGTGCGATGCCCCTGTACCTGACTCTGAGCAGGTTGACCCCTCTCTGACCACACCAGATCCTGGCAGCAGGCAAAGGTAGGGGGGCCAAGAACCCAGCTGATTTTCTTGACTGCCCCCACAGTACCAGGTGGACCCTGCCCAGCTCGTGTCACGGCGGCTGCAGGTCTCTGTGTGGCACCTAGGCGTGCTGGGCCGGCGAGCATTTCTGGGAGAAGTGGTCGTCCCTCTGGCTACGTGGGACTTTAAGGACGACACGACGCAGTCTGCCCGCTGGTATCTGCTCCAGACCAAGGTGACGTCTGGTTGGGGACTGGGAGCCCCCTGCCCTGCCACGAGAGCTTCCTCTTTTCCGAGGCACTATCCCCTGCATTCCATCTCTCCCATTCTGCTTGCTGTCAGCCCGAAGCCAGGGCTGGGAACACCTCTGTCTCTGGCCCAGCACAGGCCTGGCAGGGGACAGATGCTGGCCAGAGCAGAGGGTGCCAAGCCGGGAGCCCCTTCCCCTCCATCCTGGTGCCTGCTGCTGGGTAGAGAAGTGCCCACTCAGAGGCTCCATTTCTGGAAGCTGGGGGTGGAAGCAGTATTGTCCTGTGTGGCACCCAAGGGGCATGAAAAACTGCTTTGTTGAAGATAGCTGAGCTGGGTAGGACAGGAGCGCTTACAGCCGGAGGAGCCCAGAAGATTTGGGGGGTGGTGGTGGCAGGGAGCATCCCGGGAAACCCCACCTCTGAGTTCTGCTGCTTGTTCCCAGGCGGAAAGATCTGAAGACACCCGTGCTCAGAATAATGGCGAACTTGCTGTCCGGGCCAAACTGGTCCTGCCTACAGGGCCCAGAAAGCTCCCGGGTACTCAAGATGGTAGGTGGCCTCCAGCACCCCAAATGTGCCCCTGTGGCACCCGCCCCCAAATTCTGGCCTGGCTGGTGTGCTGAAACGTGGACAGCAGGTTCTGCATGTCCCAGTGCCTCTTACTGAGACCCACGGGGGGGCCTCAAACCCACTGCCCCTGGAGAGTTGAGGGCAGGAAGCAAGAGCAGCAGGACCACCTCTCTGTTGCCCTCCAGCCAGCTTCCTACCGGGGACAGGCAGACTGGAAATGGTCTAAGGTGACACTTTATCTGCTGGGGTCAGGGGACCCTCCAGGGCCACATGCATGGATGGAGGTCCGACTCTTTAGGAACCAAGGGCACAGCTTAGCTCCAATGCTGCTCCCAAGGAGGGTTGGCTATAAATGGTGTGGACAGGTGGGCGAGTACAAAGCTAGAGGCGGGAGAACAGGCATTTCCTGTTTGGCTGGAAGGAGAGAATCCTTCCCACTGGTGGGCAGCTGGGATGGAAGCTTGGGGCTCCCACTAGACCCCCACCCCAACCTTGCCTTCCCGGTGCTTTTCAGCTACCCACTGGTGGCACAGCCTCTTCCTGGCTGCTCTCCTGGGAGTCTGAAGGATCACAACCAATACTCTGGCTCAGTCTGGGGGTGGTAGTGGTACCACACACTAATCCCCAGGTTAAAGGGATTCAACTGCCAACATCGGTTTCCTTCCAGGAACGGGAGATCAGACATCTCTCAGTGGACAGCTGTGTCTGGTCGTGCTGGGAGCCAAGCATTTGCCTGTGCGGTCAGATGGCACCTTAAACGCCTTTGTTAAAGGGTGGGTATCGAATACTATCTCATTACTGACCGCTGTGCTGGCATACACTCGGCCAGAGCCTGCAAGAAGGCCAGAATGTGGGCTGTAACTTGGCTTCCCTGTGAAAACTCAACGTGGTCCTGCCCGTGCCAAAGATTGCCAAGGACTGCTGGGCTCTGGGTGTGCTGAGGCAGCACTGATACAGGGCACTCCTAATCCAGAGCCCAGCCACCCACAGTGCCCTGGCACGTGGACCTGCTGTGTGCTGACATGACTCCAGGACCAAGCATGGATGTGCTAAGTCCCACACCCAAGGTGACCTTCAGGTTACGTGTGTGTGGAACATGAATGATTGTGTGCAATGCTTTGGTCCCATCCCCAAGATATCTTAAAGGTATCTGTGTAAACATCCAGAAATCTGTAACCTAGTCCAGCCCCAGGCACCTTAGAGCCCAGATTGCCAACCTGGAGGTTTTAGCTTTAAAAGCCAATCTTACTGATTATGGTTCTGTCAGTTAGTTTCAGAGTCAAGCATGGAAAAGCAGCGTGTCCCATCAACACTTCCCAAGTTTGCCACTTCCCCTGGGGACCTGCCCAAGACAGACAGTTCCACCTTTTGTTCTTGGTCACTAGAGGTGGGCAGCCCAGCAGGTGCCACTCATTATGACTCTGAATTGCATATGGAGCACTGACAACCAACCGTGTAGATATGGCTGTGGTTCTGCCCTAACGCTGCTGCCTACCCCAGAGGCCCTGGACAAGGGTCGTCTACTCTGAGCTTGCCCCTAGGATCCCTTAAAACAGTGAGGTAGCACTGGTCACGCTGGCAGGGCAGCAGGCCCAGCAAGGTGGGAGGAGGGTGAGGGCAGCAGCAACCCAGCTCAGCCTTAAGATCTGCTGTGGAGGGCAGCTTGTGCATGGCAGCTCGCTCCATGCTGGCACCTTCCTCGGGGCTGGCAGTCCACGCTGACGGGGACAGCGGGCAGAGGAAGGACCATGTTGTACCTGTCCATCTCTTGCAGCTGCCTCACCCTGCCGGACCAACAGACACTGAGGCTACGGTCCCCAGTCCTGAAGCAGCAGGCCTGTCCCCAGTGGAAGCACTCCTTTGTGTTCAATGGCGTCAGCACTTCCCAGCTGAGGCAGGCCAGCTTGGAGCTGACCGTCTGGGACCACACCATCTTCGGGATGAGCGACCGTCTGCTTGGGGGAGCCAAGCTCGGGGCACGTAAGTCTGGGGAGACCCTTGTGGGGCCAGTGATGGTGCCACGAGGGGAACAAGGCTCTGCTGATGGCTGCCCACTCCCCGCTAAGCAGCAGGTTCCAGGGCCGGTGCTTGCTCCACTGCTGGGCACTAAGGCAACCAACTATTCAGACCATGTCAATCAGATTTGGATCCACTGAGGAAACACAACAGGTCTCAACACAGGCCAGGCACAGCACTTTTGTTCCTGGTGTCAAGCGTACAAGGATTACTTTCTTACAGGAAAATACCTTCTTAACCTAACCAAAGGGGGAGTCAGGAACACACCCCCGGAAGGGAGAGGAGGCGACAAGGCCAGTCAGTGTGGCATACTGCAGGGCAGCAGGTCCCCATGAGGGTGGTCTTGTATCCCAGACTCCACCCCCAAACGCTGTGACAGCCAGGAACACCTGCCTGCCATCTCCATGGATACTATTCAAGCTGTTGGGAGTAATCCTGGCCCCTCTGAGGTGGCTGCCACAGACCTGCCCACCACCATGGCAATGACTGTACGCTCCCCTTGGTGACCAGCCCCTGGCCCAGGTCCTGCTTCTCCCGCCTCGTCTGTCCTGTTTTCGAGGGGGGCGGGTGGTGGAAGGTGGGTCTCTCATTCCTCAGTGGGCTGTACAGTCCTACACCTGCAAGGTCTGGGCATTGACCCCCACCCCCAGTAACAGGTGTACCATTCACATTGCAGGAGGCGAGGCAGCTGGGGGTGCAGACGCATGCGCACAGTCCCGACTCCAGTGGCAGAGGGTGCTGTCCAGCCCCAACCTGTGGACAGACATGACGCTCATCCTGCACTGAGAAGTCTCCTGGTCCCAGGCAAAGCCCAGGGTGCATGGAATATACGGGAGAGATCCAGTGCTCCACTGTGTCCTGTGGCTGAGACCGCCGGCCACCTCTCCGTATTTATGTTAAACTGATGCTCTGTTATTAAGTCGAGAACGGGCTGGGCCAGGTCTCGGGACACGTGGCAAACAGCCCGATGTCAATAAACGGCTGAGCTCTGGCAGTCTGGTGTCACGCAGTTCACTGAGTCAGGTTGGCCCCCCGATAGACTGGTGCACCAAGGAGACAAGGCCAGAGGTGCCCTCCTGCCCCACACCCAAGGAGACAGCCACCACAGCATGTTGCCTGGAACAGCCTTTATTATTTGCAGGGTGCAATCCAGCCACCCAGAAACCTCTTGGCCATGCAGGTGCCCAGGGCACAGCGGGGCTGCAGGCTCGGCAGCTCCAGGGTGGGGCTGGAAGGAAGCGGGCCTGCAGGTGGCTCTTCCTGGGAGGATGGACAATGCACAGTCAAGAGTCCCTTGCTGCCCAAGGTCGGGATGCTTGGAGCCTGCAGCATCTTCCAGACGAGTAGCTTCAACAGAAGATCGCTCACAGGGTCTGAGTGGTCTCAGTGTTAAAAAAAAAAAAATCATTTTTACAGAGGTCACCATCGCAGCTCGCCAGTCACGCCCAGACCAGGTGCCGGGGGTGGGGTTTTTGTCACTAACCCTTTATTCTTCCATAAAAGGTAACAAAATATACAGAAACGTTTCCCTTTTTAAAACTAATGTTACAAACTCCACTATCATGTACATAAATAGGATGCTCACTAGCTGATCATTTCCTAGCTGTGGAAGTCCACAAGGTGGCCTTCTAACCATTAAGAAACAAAAGGCGTAGCCATGCGTGGCCCTGCGGCTTTGTGCCAGCGGGGCTGAGGAGGCAAATCACACGTTCAATTTCCAAAGTAATTTTCCACCCTCGGAGTGCCCAGAGATGGAGCCTTCATAGAAATCAGGACAAATCAATCAATCCGAACTCATTTCAAATACACAGGAAGTACTGGCACAGACCAGGTGCCAGGACACTGAGGCCTGCACCACTCAGGCCTGTGTGAGGCCTGGCATGGGGCGGGGCCCGCTGGGGCCCGCTTGGCACTGGGGTACGACCGGGGAGAGTAAGGCAAAGAGGCCTCCCTGGGCTGGCCGGACAACTCCTCCAGCGACCTGGTCTCTGCTCGAGGCACTGATGCACCGTGGTGAGGGGCTTGGACCCCGAGGCCGTGGGTGGGCGGGGCCGGCGGCCAGGCCCTCTGCCCCCAGTCCTGGCCCTCACATGGCCTCGAACTCGTCGATGCGCTGCTTCGTGTTGCCCTGCCGGATCTGCCGCAGCGTCTTGTACTTGTCGCGGCCTTGCCGCATGTTCTCGTTGTGGATGATGTCATTGTGTGTCCTCTTGTTCTCGTCTCTGGCCTGGGACAGCTCACTGCTCAGGGTCTGGGAGGTGAGGAGGGATGGTCAGCCTCGGGGGTTCCCGAGCGGGGATCCCTGTGCCCCCCAGCTGTGCCCCCCGACCCCGCACGTGCTCACCAGCAGCTGCCGCTGCACACGCTCGTTCTTCTCGGCCTCGGTGAGGCGCTTCTCCTCGTTGCGGTCATCTAGGATGCCCTCGCTGGACAGCTCGGCACTGTAGCCCAGCGGCTCGGCGCCCTCCTCGTGCAGGTTCTCCCGCACGTGGTAGCTCACCGGCTCGTACATGGGGGGTGGCGGTGGGGGCGTGGTCATCACCAGGTGCAGCTCCTCCTTGGTCTTCACCAGGTCATCCTGGGCCTCCCTGGCCTGTAGGAAGTGAAGGGATGGGTGAGCCATGTCCCCAGGATGCCCAGGACGTTTGTTCCTTTGAGGCTGGGCACATGGCACTAGGCGGGCCAGCATCCAGGCACCTGCTCACCAGACGACATCCTTCCCCTGGGTGCCTGTCATCCCCAACCCAACGTTGGAGGAGCTCCCCTCGGGCATGTTTCTTGCTGAACACATATGGGACAGCCTCCCTGGGCACCGTAGGGCACTGGGACCTTGAGCACAGCAGAATCCAAAGGTGCTTGGTCCTCACGGACCTGGTATAGTAGCTGGCACCCAGGGCACCTCCTGGGATAACATACACCTAGTGCATGCAGCAAGCATGTGACTAAGTGGCTGTCACACTGCACTGTTCAGGGATGATGTCAGGAAAGACATCTACACAACTCAGTGCAGACACCATCCGTTCTTAACCCAACCTGCAGGCACAGGGCTGAGCGCTGCAGAAACCCAGCAGTGTCCATGGTGGGGAGGCACCGGGTGGGCTTCACACCACTGGGGGAGACACGGCCCTAAGCGGAGAAGGACCTCATGTGGGGGTCTCTGGCGGGGTCCTCACCCAGAGCCTCCCGTTCCAGTGCCCCGACCTCCAACTCCCAGGCAGCCTGGTGACCTTGAGCCCCTGCCCCGCACACAGCTGCATGGCAGGTGGCAGAGCCTGGCTGTCACCCAGTCTACTGATCTGCAAGATCCCAGGGCTCTGTGGGTACCCTGTGTAATCGGATTCCCCTGGCAGGGAGCGGGGCTCCGCAGCTGGAATGGGGCAGGTCTTTGTTCCTTGGCTAATCCAGCAGCCCGTTCATGCTGGGATTTCTGCTTCAGCAGGCAGCGCCTCCCGCGCCAGGAGCCCCACACGGGCCAGGCTTACCCGGTGCTGCCACACCTCCACCTCGTTCTCCTTGCGCTTCCTTGCCTCTTCCAGCAGGGCAATCTTGGCGGTGTATTCAGCCAGCTCCGCGGCCTGTGAGGAAGTCATGGTGACCTCAGGAAGGCTTCCCACAGAGTCCATGTTTACTGGGACCACCTGGCAGGGTCTGTCCCTGCCTTGGTCGTACCCACCCACAGATCAGCCAAGTCTCCCCTCTCCAACCCCAAGCCACCCCTCCAGACCCAGCATATGGAACCCCGACGGCCCCTACCAGCTGCTCCTGGCTCTTAATCTGGTCAGCCGCCTGCCTCTCCAGCTCCTCCTTGGCCTGCAGCGCAGCCAAACGGTCGGCCTCGAGGCGCTCCGACTCCTCCTGGGCTCGCTTCCTCTCATCCTCCAGCTGCAGGGCTCTCTGGATCTGGTCGGAGAGTTCTGGGGAGAGGCCACAGCAAGTTCAGGCCTGCAGGGAGCACTGGCCACACGCCTCACTCCACGAGAAAGCCACTGCCACGTGCTCTAGGTTCAGCTCTCGGCAGCCCCTCTGCCGTGGCACGGGCTCCATGGCCCATCCCGGTCACCGCCACACCGTGCTGAGATGTCTCGGGTGGGTCTGCAGAGAGGCCGTGGTGTCTGCCGCCAGGTTGGGGGCACAGCGTGGGAGGCTGCCCCTCAGTGGCTGAGGGAGTGGCCTTGAGCTTATTCCCCTGCTAAACCTGAAGGTCCTCGCTAGCAAAAAGGTGGCGACTTAGCTGGACCTCAATTCCAGGAAAGGGAAACTGAGCCCAGCACAGAACAAAGCCCAGAGCTGGCTTCCAGTGCAAGCAGCGTCATGGCGATATTTGGTATCTGCGCCAAAGCCACACACGGCTCGGGAACTAGTGCCGTGTGCCCGGGCGTGCGCATGCTGCAGCCCACGGTGCCAGCCACCCAGCCCGGCGGGGCCCACCTTGCTCGGCCTTCTTGGTCTTCTGCTCGTAGTCCTGCAGCCGCAGCATCAGCTCCTCCTTCTCCCGCAGCATCTGCTCCTTCTCCTTCTCCACCGTCTCCCGCCTCTTCTTTTCCGACTCCAGCTGCTGCCTGCACGGGGCAGCAAGAGGAAGAGGATGAGGCTCCACCCGGGTCTGAGCTGAGGCCTGGTGCCGCCGGGCTCGCCCCTTGCCAGCCGCTCACCGCTCCATCTGCTTCTGCTGCTTCTCCTCGCGGGCCTGCGCCTTCATCTGCTGCACTTCGATGGTGTCGGGCTTCCGGCGGCGCATGTACAGCTCGTGGTTGCCCATGCACAGCTGCAGGATCCGCTTGTTGATGCGCAGGCGAGGGGCGTAGAACACAAAGTCCTATGAAGCAGAGTGGGAAAAAGCAGCTTGAGAACAACTCTGCGAGGGCAGCTGGCCCAGGCCCGGGAACGCCCAGCTTCCGCAGGACGGGACACAGTGTGCACGCGGCCCAGGGAGCCGGGCTGCTCAGGGTGCCTGCCACGCCCGCCTCAGGCATCAGGCCTCATTGGCCCTCGAGGCCTCGGTGCATCTCGGCTCCCTGTGACCACTCACACCCGTGAGCTCCTGCAGGCCTCACCAGGACCAAGGAGCTGTGGTGCCTCTCGCCCTCACCCTGGCACCAAGGTGGTGCCCAGCATTCCTGAGCTCAGCCTCTGCACTGTCAGCTACAGAACAGGGATGCTTGCACCCAGCGGGTCTGTCACCCACCAGGGCAGATACCTGGAAGACACTGAGAACGGTACCTGTGGGCATCCCGAGAGCTGGCCTGTGGCTGCCCAGGCAGGCCCCTGCAAATGACTGCATCGGGCATGTGGAGTTCTATGGCCAAGACAGGCATGGCAGACACGCAGCTCGGACAGGACAGTAGAGGGAGCGTGGCTTAGAAACCCTAAGAGGTTCTACCTGCCACCTTGCAACCTTGGGGCTCTGGGAACGGGGAGGAGAGCCTGAGGCGGAGTGGCTGTGCCCTGTGCAACAAGCTCATCTCAGTCTCTTTGGGCCGAGTGGGTGTGGCTCTCCCCAACCCCCACAAAAGCCCTGGACTTCCTGGGTGGGGCCTTCTTGGGGTTTTGCACACTTGTTATTAAGTCATCGGGTTTCCCAGGGAGGAGTCCAGAAGCCAGGAGAAACCAGAGTTTTTATTACCCACCCTTCTCCTGTTACCCAAGAGAAAGCAATCTTGAGCGACAGCCCCGGGGCCCAGGGAGGTCCCTGTGTGACTCAGACAGGCTGGCCGCAAGGAGCACAGAGACAGACAGGATCGGCAGGTTACTGCCAGACTCCCACAGAGAGGCATCTGGCTGGCTGGCTGCTCCTCAGGCTGCGGGCGGCTTCCTCCCACCCGCTTCTGGCTCCAGGTGACAAAGCAGCCTCCTCACCCAACACAGGCCCCTGACCAGGGTCTTCCCGGAACAAAAACCCCCACGGGCACAGAGCTCAAGGCCAATGGGAGATAAAGGTCCACAGAGCGGGGTGGGGGTGGGAACAGTACGTGCAGGTCCCCGGTACAGGACAGGAAACCTCCCCCAAGGCCAGTACAACAGAGCCAAAGGCGCCCAAAGAGGGGATCCCTTGACGCTTTTCTGTTTAAACTCAAAAAGCTGCCTGTCCAAAGCAAAAGGCTGAGGCTGGTCCTGGCCTCGTGGCACGGCTGGCCAGGCCACCGCCTGTGACACGGGTAGTCCTGGCTGGAGCAGAGATCCATATCCAGTGGCTCCAGTTCCGATCAAGCTCCTGCCAAAGTATCTGGGAAGACAGTGGAGGACGGTCCAAGCGCCCAGGTCCTCATACCAATGTGGGAGACCCAGACAGAGGGCCAGGCTCCTAGCTTCAGCCCCACCAGTTGAGGCTGTTCGGGGAGAGAATCAGTGGATGAACCATCGCTCCCTCCTCCCCTCTTCATCGCTCTGCCTTTCAAATGAAATAATAAACAAATATATCTTAGCAAAAAGAATGGGACTGAGATGAGGCAGGAGTGCCCAGTGGCCCTCATGTCAGGGCATGCAGGGACCCAGAACTGCAGACCCTCCAGCCGGGTCCTCCTTCCCTCGCCTCTCTCTGGTGGGGACCCCTTTACACCTCTCACTTTAGTTCATCACACTTGAGCCACTGCAAGCTGAATCTCTGAAAGTTCTAGAAGTTCAAGCAGATGGCAGCTCACAGAGGGGGTGGGGCCTCCCTGCTCTCCCACAGAGCCTGTCTTGCTGCCCACATGATATGGGCACACTCTGACCCTTGGCTCCTGAGCTGCAAGCTGTGTTAATGGGAACTCCTGGTTCCTGTGGTGTTGCGGGGCATGGGCCCTGTGAGGCGGGATTAAGTGTAAGTAACTGGGCTACCACCCACGGGGCAGGAGTTTGCAAACAGCAGGAAACATTTCCAATAAACAGCGCTTTTGGCAAACAATGCCGAGACCTGCTGATTTTCAATTACATGCAGGAGCGTGTGGGGAAGCGAGGCCTCACAGTGCAGCCACCTGCTGTTCTCGGCGGGCTGAGCAGCCCAGACAGACGCCCCAGGTGTGGGGCCTCAGAGCAACAGGGAACACCGCGTCCTCTTCTAAATCACTGTGCTGATCTCAGAACGAGGTCGAAGGAGGGTACCATGGACGGGCCAAGTTCCTGATGTCCCCGGCAAACACCTGCTCAGAGTCCAAGTGCTTAAGAATGCACAGAGCCAGCATGCGTTTCCCCAAGCACAGGGGACAGCAAACACCGCAAGGTGCTCACGCCATGGCCGAGGTCGCAGCCTCGAACTGCCCTTTGCTACATAGCAACGTGACCCCCTGGCTGTACAGGCGACAGCTGGTAGGCAGACATCCCTCGCCCCTTTACTCAGCGCCCTCAAGACCCTTGAAAACGTCACCCAGACTTACAGGGGCCTTCTTGTCGATGGGCTTAATGACGAACTTCTTGTCATTGAAAGAGATGTTCCGTATTTCACTCCAAGGGAAGCCAATCTTTGGGGTCAACCTGGCATCGGGGGCGGGTGGGGAAGGGGAGAAAGAAAAGGCCTCATTAGCTGTGAACACACATGCATGTATCATGCCACAACTGGCAGCAGAGGTTTGCAAATCCAGCCTCAGTGTGCAGAGATCCAGGACCTGAAACGCCATCTCGCCCTGCAGCCCGGACCTGCCCCAGCGCCAACCATGCTGGTTCAAACCTATCCTGGTAATCCTGTGGTCTTTATTGAAGAAATACAACAAAAAGAAATCCGCATAATTTCAAAGTATCTCCCCTCAAAATACACAATAATTCCAAAGAGGGAGACAGACCTTTCCTAAGATGGATAGCCACCCCACATCTCAAGCCCGCCCTCCCTCCTGCCGTGGCCCAAGCTCTCTCACTTGTCCGTGGCACACTGCTCCCTCAGCATGACTGCCTGAAACCAGCCATGCCATGTGGGGCCAGCTGCAGCCCCCACTGCTTGCTCCAAGGTGGGGTGCTCCATTGGCCAGCCCTTCCTGGTCACCCCAGACTTCAGGAGGACCCTCAGACTCCCCCTGCCCCACACCCTGGCTACCTGGCTCCTCGGCCAAGCACATCAAACCACACTGCTCTCCTTCCTGACACCACCTCCCTCCCAGCAACTACAGATGGAGCAACAGCAGCCCAGTCACAGCAATGCTGAAGTTCCTCTTGTGACCCTGACAACCCTGCTTCGCAGCCCACAGCAGCACAGGACGGGTGTGCTGCCCACCCAGAGTTCAGATGAAAACTGCTGGGAAATGTTGGTCTGGTACTGGAGCAGGGCAGCGGGTGAGCTGGCCTCTGAGGCCTGCAGTGCACCTGCAGGGAGGGCGGCAGGTGGATGCCCCACTGCTCTGTCCTGCTGGTTGCCGATCTCCAGACACACACATACATGGCTGACCGTGTGGCACGGAGTCAGGGGAGCTGTGACTGGCTGCATAGGCCTTGGAGCACTAGAAGGAGCAGACAGGTTCTGCCGATGCAGCTGGGAGGGAGCAAGCCAGGCCGGGTTAGATTTGGGCAGAAAGCTAAGCTTGGGGCGGGGGCAACAGAGTGAGGACAGCGAGCCCTGGTCGCTAAGCAACGCAGGTGCATGCACTTCAGAGACGGGTTTTGCAGAGACAAAGTAGGGAATTTTAGAAGTGAAAGCCTGGAGGAGACTACATTACAAAGACAAGAAAAAAAAAAAGTTTCTATGAAAGTAAGACAGCACGCTGAACTCCACATAAGGCTACACTCCTCCACTCGGGGACAAGCACGCCGTGCCCCACTCCTGCCCCACTCCCACGTGGCAGGTCCTGGGCTGTGGAGATGGAGAGAAGGGACGACTGCCCCGATCACCACACGCCACCAACTGAGGGAAGAGACAGGGTTGCAATACCCCCTGCAGCCCCACCAACACCTCCAGTCCAGGTCGCCAGCCTGAATCCCACGCCCTTGCAGATCTGCCCACGCAAATTCTGCTATGATAGGGTGGATGACAGGGAGGGAGGTGGGCAGGTGTTGTGGCCCAGACAGGGAGGGATGTGGGGAAGGAAGAGACGTTGCCAGGACAGGATCGGGTCCCCTGGCTGTGACTTTGGTCCCAGCGCAGGCAGAGCTGTAAGGCAGCCTCGCCCCGTTGTTCCAGGCTCCCAGTGCGCACCTGCTGGGGAAGGTCCCTGCCCACTTATTCCCCTTCCTAGTCCTTTCTTTTCTGAAACGACGACTCAATGAGAGGGGCCAAGACAGACGTCTCTGCCCGCTCCCCGTGCTACTCAGTGGTTACCAGCACAATGGAAACAGGGGCCCTCAAGAGGCATTTCCCGGCCGGCTCCGAGCGCCTTGCAAGACAAAGAGGCGTTTGTGGATTTGTTCCCTTTACCTACTCGGCGCTTCAGATTTCTTGTGGGAACAGCATCCCAGAGACTGCTGCACTGCTAGCTCCTCTCCCTCTCTCCCGCATTAAGGACTCAGCACAGCACGGCTGCAGCCTGCCGCTCAGACCCCCGCTCCCGGGGACAGGAACCTAGCCGGCTCTTGGCCGAGGGTGTGCCAAATTCGAGGGAGGGGGGTGTGAGGACCCTGACCCGGGACGGGGGCTCCCACTGTGACGGAGAAGAAGTGGGCATTCACATGGGCTAGGGCAGTTACAGGCGGACACTAGCAAGCTCCTGCCTCTGGCTTCTTCTTGCAGCCTGAAAAACCTGTTTAGACGGCCTTGGCTGAGGCCATTCAAGGGACATATTCAAAGGCCCAGGGCAGTTTCCCACAGGGCCACTTTCTCTGTGGCTCTGTGCCAGCTTGGAGGAAGGACACGGCGGGGACCCTGACCTTCCCCAGCAGCACAGTGTCTAGCAGGCGGGGTCCTGGGCACCCCCGTCCTCAGGAGCTCTCTCCCTGCAGCCCAGAGTCCCTGCCCCTCTCTGAGGGGCAATGCCACTCCCTGTTGGGTGTGCACAGTGCAGTGCCCGGGCACCGACTCTCTGTCCCACACTAGGCTGCCCAGACCACAGAGGGAGGGGAACTGAGACAGCTGAGCTAGAGTCATCACTCCTGGGGACAGCCAGGACGCAGCAGAGAACTCAGCGACAGCCCGTGGCCCTGGACCTCTGCTGCCCACCTGCAGAAGCAGGAAGGACAAAGGGGTTGAGCTTGGCATCGGCAACGGGCCCACAGCAGGCACTCGGGTGAGAATACAGAAGCTGAACACACCCCATGTTCACAGAAGCCCACGGACCACAGCCCCTCTTCCCCCAGGCCAACAGGAGGAATCCATACAGGGTCTGTTATTGGGAGGAGATGGCTCCCCTCACGGGGCAGCTGGGCAACAGTTGCCAAGGGAAGCAAGGGCTGCTTTGCCAGGCTCCGAGGATCAGCTGCTGCTCTGGAACCTTTCCCGTCTCTGACGGTGTCATGACTGTTCACGGGGACGAACCCCAGCCCCCCAGCACTGCCTGCCTCCCCCACCACTGCAGGCTCACTTGTCGTCCTTCTCATAGATGTTCAGGCCGAGCGCATCGACCCCGAGCCACAGGTCCGTCCCCTTCTTGTTCTTGATCTCAAAGTAGTTGATCCCATACATCTCCAGGTCCTGGGCGATCTTGAGGTACTCCAGCATGGCACTGTCTCTGTTGGTGGAGGGAGACACAGACGTGCCCGTCAGACTGCCAGCTACACCCTGGAGATAGGGGCAGTGCGGACAAAGCTGCCCGGCCTCAGCGCTGCCCCCGACACGCCCCCCACACTGACCCACTGATGCGTGTCTCCCTAGAGACAGGAGGGTTTTCACACAGGGCGCTCGGGACCTCCCCTCGCCTCCCACTGTACCACCAGAGCCACCCCTGCAGGCTTTGCATCATTCCTCCTCTACAAAGGATGTCTGGGCCAAAGAACACAGTACAGGTGGGCACTGTGTTGTGAGGCAGTGGGTTAAGCCATCACCTGTGATGCTGGCATCCCATACGGACCCATGTGAGTCCTAGCTGCTCTACTTCCCATCCAGCTTCCTGCTAATGTACCTGGGAAAGTAGTGGACCTTGGCCAATGGGAATGGTTTCTGCACCCACATGGGAGACCCAGAAGAGTTCCAGGCTTCTGGCTTGAGCCTGGTTCAGCCTGGGCTGTTAGAGCCTTTGGGGAAGTGAGTCAACTGATACTCCACCTTTCAAATAAATTAACCCCACCCTCTGGCTCTAGGCTGGGAGTGACCACTGCGGCCGCTGGCCAGCACTCACTTGAGCATCCCGCGGTGCTCGGCGTGCCACACCTGGATCCGGTCCTCCCACTGGTCCCGGGTGAGCTTGTGCTGGTCCATGACCCTGGGTGGTGAAAGAAGGATGCACAGTCACCCCTAGGGCCCCTGTTCACCCTGCAGACAACATCCTCGTCTCCCTCCAGATCTGTGAGCACCAGCCTGGATGACTGAGCATCTTCAACAAGACAGACAAGCCCTGCCAGCGATGGTGATTCTGTCAGGATGGGCAACTCCTCCTGGCCGGGTCCCTGTGCCTCTCACATGGCCACTGTGCGCTCCAGGCAGCCCAGCCTGCGCTCACCTCTGCGGAATGAGCCGCTCGGAGCTGAGGTAGCCCGACTTGTGCGTCTCCTTGTTGTAATCTCCAAACTTGGCCTGCACGGCGTAGGAGCCCAGCAGCACGGCGGTCTCGGGCGGGCAGTAAATCTCATCACTCAGGATGCCCTCCTTCACTTGCAGGAAGAACAGCTTCTGCGTGATGTCCTGGATGAGCTCCTCGGACACGTCCTCGGGATAGAACTTGGCCCGGAACTTGAACTGCACCGGGTTCTCTTTCCTGACCTCCTGCGCGGACACCTGCGGGGGGAAAGTGAGTCGTGCCCTGCTCGTACACCTGGACGTGAAGCCTCACACACTTCCCGGCTCTAAAACAGGAGCCTGCAGGCCAGGTTTCAGAGTGAGTGCCTCCCTAAAACGCCCTTCCAATACCACAAACAAAACCAAGTCACCCCAAAGCACCTTGCACTCACTCATCCCACTTGGGACCCGACTCCCACCTGTCTCCCCACCCTGTCCCCAGCTTATTTCAGAGACACAGGAGTCAGGGAGCTGGGAAAGAGCGTGGTCCTCCAGCCCGCACTCGGACAGGAGCTTCGGATCTTTGGAGTGGGAAGATGATCCACTGCAGGCACTGAGCAGCAGCAGGTGCCGCCAGCAGCATCTGCACCAGCAACCGAGCGGCATCAGGTGGAAAGAGCCACAAACTGACCCCCAAACAGAGCCACAAGTACTGGAGCCCCCAAAAGGCACACAGAGCCAAGAGTAAAGCCAGGGCTGGGGCACACAGCACCTCGGCAGCAGCGTGGCCAGAGCAAACCCAGACACTCACCTTCTTATCCAGTTTCAGCCAGGTGGGGAAGCCCTTATTGTCCACGTACTGGAGGCCGAAGTACCACACCTCCCGCAGGCCGATGGTCTTGACCACCTATGGGGGGACATCAGTGGGATAAGCTGGGTCACAGGGCACTCTGCACAGGATGGCTGCACCCAGGACAGCAAGATGCCCACCTGCCCACGCAGCTGGATCCACCAGCCACACTTCACCTGTGTACTGTCACTTCTGTGGGGACGCCTGCCTCACTGGCCCACAAGGCCCATGAAAGCCCTCGAGAGCCCCCTAGTCAGTCTCTCCACTGGACCCACACAATGACCAAGCGAGCTCGCTTCCTGCCCACCTGTTCCAGGCTGCCCACCTAGCTCTCCAGCAGAAAGTATTGTGCTCAAGATGTTGTGCCTCTGCCACAGCCCCCGGGGATGCAATCACTCAGGAATACAAGTGGAAGGACCACTGGCCACAACCCTTCTGCTGTCTGCCCCGCCCATGAGCCTAGACTGGCATCTGTTGAGTGATGGGTTGGGGACGGAAGGGCGGAGTCGTCTAGAAGCTTGGGTGTCAGCTAAGCCTGTGGTGTTGGCATCCCATTGGGCACCGGTTTGAGTCCTGACTGCTCTACTTCCAATCCAGCTCCCTGCTAATGTGCCTGGGAAAGCAGCAAAGGATGACTCAAGTTCCCAGCGGCCTTTAAAACAAGTGATGGCTGGGTGGCACAGGCCTAAGCTGTCCCCCTGTCCCTTTGCAGATCAAGTCTACTGGCCTGGGACACAATGTTGTGAAAGCAAAGCCTGATGGGAGAAAGGCCAGGCTGTGAGAACAGGACTGTGCCTGGAGCAGCCGTGATTAGCAAAGGAGTGTGTCCTAAAATGGGGACATCGCTAGCACGTGTTTACAATGCCAGCACAAAACATCTGAGCACCTTTAGCTTTTCCATGACCTCAAGGGAGCAAAACTCAGACAAAACCACCCAGCAAACCTCATGATCTGGGAGCTGTGAACAGTCTTTTGCTCAAATCATTCCTGCGGGTTCCTGGACAGCCACCCACCTGATCAAACAGCTGCTTCCCTGTGGTGTTCGGCTGGACGGCAAACTCCAGCTCTGCGTCCATGGTGGTGACGCGGACGTTGATCTGGAAAACAGGAGATAAAGACACCTGGCTGAGCGCTGCTTTCCCGAGCACCTCCGAGGCCTCCCTGAGCTCCGAGAACCTCTGGGGCCCCCCTGAGCTCTGAGCACCTCCGGGGCCCCCCTGAGCTCCGAGAACCTCCAGGGCCTCCCTGAGCTCTGAGCACCCGCACGGCGAGGGCAGGCACTTGCCACACATGCTGTACCAACAGCCCCTGCCTGCTCCACAGCACATTCACACTCGGGTCTGTAGGGCTTTCGCACGCACCTGCTCCATCAGCCAGCAGTCTGTGGCCCGCACACACCTCGCTGAGCCCCACGCCGGCCACGTGAGGCCGGCCACGTGAGGCCGGCCACAGGGCACGTCACACTTGACACCCAATGACGAAAGGGCGGAGGCTCTGAGGCTGCTGGGAGCTTGCTGGCAACTTTGCAAACTATCAGGGCAGTGTGGTGGCGGGTTATTTATTTGGAAGGTAGAGTTACCGAGAGAGGTCTTCCTTCTACCGGTGCACTCCCCAAATGGTCATAATAACCAGAGCTGGATCAGGCTGAAGCCAGAAGCCTTGAACTTCAACCAGGTCTTCTGTGTGGGTGCAAGGCCCTGGGGCCCAGCCCATCTTCCACTGCTTTCCCAGGTGCTAGGTTGAATGGTTAAGAGCAGTCACCCCTTTGTCACCACTGTGGCCACCTGTGTCTCCTACTGGAATGCCTGGGTTCAATTCCTGGCTCCACTTCCAGCTAACGCAATGCCTGGAAGGTGTCAGTGGGTGGCTCAAGTATGTGGGTCCTTGCTATTCATGCAGGAGACCCCAGTAGAGTTCTGGGTCCCTGGCTCTGGCCAGGCCCAGCTCTACCCACTGGTTCACTGGGGAGTGAACCAGTGGAAGATCCATCTTGCTCTCATTCTGCTTTTCAAGTAAAATGGAAACAAAATAACAGTATTTTCAAGTAACTCCTTGCAAGTATACCAGATCTACCCAGGAGGTGACACATGCTCAGACCCGGTAGCTCTGCTGGCAACGGGCACAGCTCAACTGTTTCTCATCGCTTATCCACCGAGGTGCCCTCCTGCGTCCTCTCTGGCAGGTACAAATAGCTCAGGACACAGGGCTATGAGTCTCCCAGCAGGGCAGCCCCCATACTGAGCGGTCCCCCAAAACTATTTCCTGCCCCAGACACAGAATGGGGTTCTGCGACCCCTACCCCACCCCGAGCATGCCACACACAGTGGTAACCCAGGTCTGGCCCATGCCTGGTGTGTCTCGAAACTTAAAAACAGGCTTCGGTCCAGGGGTTGAGGGAGCATCCCAGGGTAACCCAGCCCAGCCACTGTCAGTTCTACAACAGAACAATTCACCTCGGACCCAAGGCAGGACAATCGGATACTGAAGCAACTGGTACCACCCCGCCTTCGCCACCTCCCTATGGCAGCGCTGGGCTCTAATGAGCACAGGGCTGTTTTGCACACAGAGGGCACTCAGCAACGGCAAAGCCCTCCCCATGTGCCCTGGGGTTGGGGGGCACCTGGCTTAGCAGGTGAGCTGCATTCTCACTGCTGTAGGAGACGCAACTCCAACCTGTTACCAGGGCGTCACTGGCCGTCACTGCTCTGTATCTTAAGAGCAACGCCTTTCAACAACAGGAGTGAACTAAATCAATCTTTATTAAGATAAAGAACAAAAATGGCACTGAGTTCCGGCACAGCGGGTTAAGCAGCCACGGGGATACTCGCAACAGTCCCAGCTGCTCTGCTTCTGACCCAGCTCCCTGCTATGCACCTGGGAAGACACAGGAGGATGGCCCAAGTGCTTGGGTCCTGCTCACCCCGAAGCTGCTGGCTTCAGCCTGGCCCAGTCCAGACACTACAGCCATCTCTGCCAGTCTTCAAACAGGCCAGAATTTTCTTTTTTTAAACAAAACTATCCATCAAAATTTTGTTGGGTTTTTGATACTGAGAGAACAGGTTCCATGTGCCGGTTACTTCCCTCAAATGCTTGTCCTGGCCAGAGACTCCACCTGCTGAGCCCTCATCTGCTGCTTCCCAGGACGCACTTAGCAGGAAGCTGGTACCAGAGGCGGAGCTAGGACGTGGCACTCCGACGTGGGACATGGGCAGCAACTTTTTGAAATGGAAAATGAGAGTTCCACAGCTCCCTGCGCCAGACGACTAGGCCATGCGGTGCATATGCTACGTTAGTAAGATTCAACACATACACCCCCATCTTTGCCTCAGTCAGCCAAGTTACCGAACCCCCACTTTCCACCCCCAGTTTCCCCTTCTCTACCTCCCCCTGGCGTCATAAATCTACTCTAAAAATACTCTCATTATAAGTTACTTCAGCTCAAACCCACCCCACTCCCACAGGGGCGGTCGGCAGTGCTGCTCTGGCATCCTGTGGCTGCAGACCACAGGCACTGCCCAGCCACTGGGCACCTTTCACGTGGCACTTACACCAACATCTGTGTCAGCCCGACGAGCTCAGACCTCCTCTCCTTGGAGGAGTTTCCCAAGACCACGTTCCCACCACTGGGCCTGCACCCCACTTGTGGCCGGCACCCCCACACCAGCACTGCTCCCAGGCGCCCAGCTTGGAGCCTCAGCCCCACATGTCTCTTTATTCATCTGCGACCCTTCTGCCAGTGTAGGTGTCAAGTGTCTGCAGCGGCAGGGATGGCCCTGAGCTGGGTCTCCCGTGTGGGAGTTGGAGGTGGGACTTCCTCCCTGGGAGCCAGGGCTGGGCTCAACCCCAGGAGCTCCCACGGGGACAGCCCCACTTCGCCCACTAGGTTGAATGGCTGCCCTGAGGCAGTGACTTATCCACTGTCATTTTTTTGTTTTTAAATTTGAAGGGCAGAGAGCGAGAGATGCAAGCACAGCTCTTTGGTTAGCGGATTCACTCTTCCAAATGCCAGCAATATGGAGGGCCGGACTGAAGGCAAGTCCAGAATCCCCGCAGTCTCCTTAGAGGCAGCGAAAGCCCCCACCCGCTGCGTCCTGGGATGCACTTCAGCAGGGAGGCCAACTTCAAGGGCGAACAGCCAGGCCCCGAGGTACGGGACATGGGAACCAAATGCCGCCTCGAGTCTCTGCGCCCTGTCCAGAGGGATTCTTAAGAACACAGGATAGTGGCAGGGGTTCTGGGACGTGACTCTGGACCTGCTGCAGACCCCAGGCAGGCTGAGGGGCCCCTGGGTCTCTGTTACCTGGCAGGCGGCCCACATGAGCCAGGTGAAGCTGGGTGATTTGCAAGCCAGGCCTGGCTGAACAGCTGCTGGAGTGGACTTCACACTGCCCACACCTCAACTCATTTAAAATACATGCTGGGTGGGGGGGTGCATGTATTCAGAGGTGTACCATCACCCTCCCTCCTGCCCAGCTCTCAGGGTGCTGGGGGTCAGTGGCCCTGACCACTGTCAGGGGCTCCTCCGGGGCACTGGCCATCCCAGATGCGTGTTTGGGAGCCAGCCGTGAGGACGAGTGCAGGCTATGCTCCTTCCTAGTCCAGCCAGCCTCCTCTGCCTTGCTTAACCACACTCCAACTTAACCATGCAAAAGAACCCCCGGAGAGCTCCCTCGCAGTGCTGGGGTCCCAAGGGACCCCCACCGTGCCGATCCCCAAACGAAAGTTCTCAATTCTCCTGCGAGGAGGATGCATTTACACCCCGGGGCCACCATGGGAATGAGTTTTTACCAAGACTCTACGTGTGAGGACTAGAGATGAAACCCCACTTTAGCTCTGACTCAGGATCCCAACAGCCCACTTCTTCATTCCGAAAAAGATAAAAAGCCACTATTTCCACCAATGCTGATAAACAGCCAGCCCCTGTAAAACCCTGCCACAAAGCCAGCTCAGGGCAGAAATGCTGACGCCCCAATGCTCTCCTGCCACATTAATCTCATCTCTGCAGGTGGCTTAGGTGCAGGGCATATTCTAGCTGTTCCACTTCCAATCCTGCTCCCTGCTAACGACCTGGGAAAGCAGCAGACCACAGCTCAAGTGCTTGCACCCCTGCCACCCATGCGGCAGACCCAGATGAAGCTCCTGGCTCCCATCTGGCCCACAGGATGCAAGATCTCACTTTAACTCTGACTTTGAGCTGGTTCACTCCCCAAATGGCTACAACAGCCAAGTCTGGGCCAGGTCACCCACGTGGGTACAGGGGCTCAAGGACTTGGAATCCAACTCCACTGCTTTGCTAGGCCACAAGCAGGGGGCTGGATCAAAACAGAGTAGCCACGGATGCCAGCCCCTAATTTTGTTTGCTAGCTATTGTACAAAATGAATCTGTCTTTCTCACATGGCTCCCTAGTGACTGCTCATGTAAACTAAATTGTCTTTTACAACGTTACCATTTCTACTAAGCACAGAAGAATCTAACATTTAGGCTGGCAGATAACCCAGAACATCTGCTCTACTCGGCATTTCAACAGAGGACAAACTCCAGATAGCTGTAGGGATTTCATGAAATACCAGAACACGACTGTGGGGGTGGCAGCAATGGCCTCCCAACTTGCAGTCCATCTACGAAGGCCCATCCAAAAAAATTCATGAAAATAGAATTAAAAGATAAGCTCATTTTGCGTAAAAACTTTAAAATCCCTGCAAGGATATTATCATTTCCTCCCTCCCTCCTTCTTCGCACAAAAATAAACTTTTTCTGAAGTACCCTGGCATGCCACTTGGTGTAAGAGCTTGATGTTGCAGTGACACTAGGCGGTGAGCTGGGCTCTGAGCTAACACCCAGCAGGAGTCCCTTGTCTCCAGGACCCCAAAGGCAGGCTGGACTTAAAGTAAGAATTTCCAGGGACACAGTTAAGGCTGCAGCTCTCCCAACACTGGCTTTCCTGAGGACCGGAGGAGATGAAGACAGAATAAATCCATCTTACTAATAAAATACCTGAGGGGGGGGAGGTGTCATGTTGTAGCAGATGACACTAGCATCTCCCTGGACACCAGTTCATGTCCTGGCTGCTCCACTCCGATCCAGCTCCCTGCTAAT